GGATAACAAACGAAGGTGGTTGTCACGATTATTGCAAGTACAGTGCAGTGGAGAAGGCAATTGCTCGTTTAAATTTCCTTACTGTTCCAATTAATGCACTAAATCATTACACGGCATGATTATACGCATGAGTCGTGGTGATTGTGAGAACTGAATCTATTCAGCTTTATTAACGTTATTATGAATCTATTGTCTGTTTCACAATTTCCAGTGACTATACTTAATGCTGCGATATTTTTGATCACCAATAGTGGAGATGAATTCCTCCTGAGATTTCCATTTACACAAAGCAGTACAGATGCGCTGTGACGATCGAATTTCCCAGTTTGCATTATATGACATTATTATCCTCATCAACACAACAGGTCTGTGTACTTTACAATAGTTGAAGTGTTTCACTATGTTGTTAACACTGTGCACAGCTGTCTAGAGTTGAGGCATGTTCAGCTTATATTTGATGCCTATAGTCTCCTAAATGAGAAAATGTGATTTCTGTAGGATTCACAAAACCTTGTGGACTAGACATTACTGAGATTGTGGATTAATTTCTTAGTTACACATTTCCAATACTTCATTTCATATAAAAGTGTTTAGAGTGAAGTTGATCTGCAAGTAAGCTTGATGAGAGAATGACGCCTCAATAGTATGGATGTTTCGGAGATTGTCTTGAAATTTGCGTATAATCCTCAAATACAGGAAAACATATGATGTTTATTTGTGTATATGACATCAACATAAAAATCATCTGTAGGCTACAAATACATTTATCTGCATGAGATATTACTTAGTATCGACAGAATCATTCTATTCATAGTGTATGCTAATATGTAGAATTATCTCTTGTAACTTCATGTTGGGCTAGTTCTTACATGTACTTTATTTTTTCAGGTATACGGAGGTTGTCGAATATGAAATCAGCGGAAACATCATTCGGTCAAACTAACGTTAATACCCTTAATCAGAATGTTCTTTTGTAAATTAATCAAATGTTTAATATACTCTTGATTTGTAATTCCTCTAGACTTTTTCAATTAGTTGCTATACTATGTGCTTTTGTAATAAGTGAATTAGGAATAATAAACGCTAAGCTTAGTTAGCGGGATGGAGATTTACTATGGTATTATGAGACTGTTACTTTAGTCATTAATAGGATTTCGTGTCTGTTTCTACATAATAGCACATTGTAAAAGCTAAGTGGGATTTAGCAAGTTGAAAAATAATTCTGTACTGTTCAATGAGCTAAAGTCTCCTTGTGTAGCCAGTTGCAAGTCCGTATACTGCTAAACGCCAAGTATGTGGTACAAGTAAATGTAGTAAATTAGGCTTGATAGCTGCTTCACTAATCAAATAGAATGTTCACTTGACAATGAGCTAAGAAACAATTTTTATTTATTTGTAATATGCCGTTGAATCATAGGATGTTATCTAAATGATAGCAGACACACTAATGGTATATTCACATTCTCAAAAAGCTTCAAAGCTTCTTCAACTTAAATCCTGGTTCTTAATTCTCCAGGATTATGCTCTTTGAAAACCTTGCTAATATCAACTTTGATCGTGCTCTCCTCATCATACTTACTGGAAGGTCGTTGTATGCTGTAGACATGAACGTGCAAGACATTAGTTTTCCAGATTTCTATATGTTAAATAACCAAATGAGCCAGCACCAAAACCTGCAACCAACTAATGGACTGGAAACAACTGTGGAGTACGTAACAATGTGATTGTACACTATTTGGTTATTTGTATAAATTCGAGATGCTGTACATAATTTTTGTTTAAAACGCTTCTCGTTGAAATATACATAACTTCCGTGTACAGTTGAAAAATACACTCTGCTGTTGGAGACTTCGTCTTCTCCCTGGTTACTTCTGCTTACTTGCTCCACTCACACCGTGTTGTATACTTCGGATTTATTGTAGGAGCCTACTACTCTCAACCGAAGACATTTCTACAACCGGAACACAGCAGCTACAGCAGACGCAGTCCAAACAATTAACGTGCCCGTGGATTATATAATTAATTTGTAGCAGAGGACTTAGACTTTATATCCAAGTAATCCTTTTTGTTGCTATAACTCGTCACTGTATTTTTGGTAATATATTGTGATTTAACACTCCACTGACTTGGATTATTATTTTCAAATTTGGAATGTTAGTGAACTCTAATATTAGTCCCCTACAAATTAATTGGTGAGCCCGATAAGAACACGGATTATTTTGGCATATTCATATTCTTATTTTTGCTATTTAGTATATTCATTGTGATTTTGTGTGTGGTTTATATTTGTATCCTAATTTGCACCAATAACCTCATATTTATAATGTCATCACCTCAGTCCGGTACATCAAACGAGCAGACAACTAATAGCGAAACAAATGCCACAATAAATGCCATCACTGATTTTCGTTTACCTCAATACGGTTTCGCAGAACCAAGGATTTGGTTTGCGGTAATTGAACCGTTGCTAGAAGCACGGGGCATTAAGTCCCAAATAGCCAAATATGGTATGGTGCTGGCAGAACTCCCTCCGTCAGTATTGACAGAAATCAGCGATTTCATCGAAGATCCTCCGACGGAACATCAATTTGATAAACTTAAAGCCCTCCTCATACAACGTACCAGTTTGTCGGATGAGAAAAGAATCCAACAATTGCTCACAGGCTGTGAACTAGGCCCACGTAAACCATCCCAGCTGCTCAGGCACATGCGCCAGTTAATCGGACATCATAAAGTAGACGAGGTAGTGCTGAAACAGATGTGGTTGCAACGTTTACCTAGAAATGTCCAGCAAATTTTAATCATCTCAGGAAAGTCGTATGACTTAGACCAACTAAGTGACATGGCAGATAGTATTATGGATGTTTTATCTGATAACACCATAAGTCACGTAGCATCTGATAGTGCCACACCGTGTCATTCCACACCCACGGCAGACACACCGATACTCGCCGCCATTGCAGACTTAGCGGCAAGGATTGACAAGTTGGAAACTAATAGGTCGGATCGACGAGTCCGGAGGCGGAGCTCACAGAGAAGGTCACCATCACGACGACGATCCTTCTCACGACAGCGTTCTTACACGTCTTCTCGGGATAGCAATATATGCTGGTATCACTGGAAGTTTGGACGTCATGCCCTGAAATGTGTAAAACCGTGCAGCTTTAGCGAAGCCAACCAGGCTCAGGGAAACGCCTCAGCCAGACAGTGATGGCGACAGCTGTTACTGGCAAGCAAACAAGTCGCCTCTTCTATGTGAAGGACAAAACTTCAGACACTTTATTCCTGGTAGACACGGGAGCAGAAGTTAGCTGCAATCCAACATGGCCGACTAACATGGACGAAAATGACCTTTGAGCGTCTCACTCCACCAATGACCTTGTAAGTTACGGATAATTTCAGTCATCTGTAAACTCAACTGGTTCATTCAAGAAGTGTTTGGACAAGCACAGAAATTTACTGGAAAAAGATTAACATAGGCTTTAAGCCTTCTATCCTCAACCAATAAATCTGAAATTGTACATTGACATTCGCTAAATATTCCCGTATCTTTGACAGTATGCGCTACACCAGATAACATGAGCTTATGAGTGGATTGTTTGAAGGCTTTTTATTCCCTAAAATCTAGTTGTTGACTATTATCCAGTGAGTGTTTTACTTGCAAAAAACAATGAATAAAATTTTTGTACGCATGAAATATAATAGTTTTTCTCAACGGCTGTTTGTAGTCCCCAAAACAACTAATATGGGTGGTAGGAAATAAAATTGTAGATAAAAGGAGTAAAGCTTATGAACAAATGGTAGGAATAGCATAGAAGCAGATGAGGAATAGTGGAAAGGCGATGAAAATTGCGATATTGTGATATGCGATATCCAAAAACATAAATATCCTAAATGGTCTATCCATTTACATTAAGAAATTCAGGTATTAATCAGCCTCCACCTTTAAAATTTGTTATGGCAAAAGAGTTAATTAACTCTCGTATCTTATAAGTTGTCATATTTCGAAAGGCATTAAAGGTTGTCAGTCAGGCAAGTGGTGTGCCAGTATGTCAGCCAGTTAATTACCTCTGTAGTCGAAAAGCATCCAATTTCACGAGAGAAATGGGTTAAATCCATATTGTACAGATCTCAGCACCCTCTCTATTCCCAACCCTCCCATTGCATCTCATCAGATGGGACTGGAAGTCATTATACAAAGTCATTTGTACAACGAGGTACAATACTCAACGGCACCCTATTTGTCCCGTGTTCTGTGTGACACAAAAAGTGTTAAGCGTAAAAACTGTAACTTACTATGTAGTTAACAAAATAAACGGCTATTTCATCTCTTGTTTGTAATTTATGGTGGCATTATCTCAAGCATCTTAACATTCTAGTCATTGTTATTATCGTCATTATTTTATCCTTCTTGCACATTTCTGACTTTATTGTTAGTGATATTGTCAAAATAGCTGCTATTATCAATTTCGGTTACCTACATTCTGTAATGTTTGATGTTGTTGAGTAAATCAGATGCAGTATCACACCAAATACTGAAATTACCACACCGTCTCATAAGTCTTGTTTTCGAATGCTGCAAATTGTTACTATTCTTATTATCATTAAGTGATTAGGTTTCGAATCCTGGCCGACACACTCCAAAACCTCAGTTATCCAACTGTGGTAAATCCGATAAATCCGCAAGGTTAGCAGCATGAGGCTAGCAACCACCCACACCCCATTAAAGCATAAAATATCACCGCTGTTAAAACATCCAAGCTTGAAGCTCTCTTTCTGTATTCGACTAGTAGGGACGCAAAGGAATGAATTTTTTGTGTTCATGAGGCGAAACTGTGGGTTCATCAACCTTTAAGATTTTATGTATTTATTCACTTATATACAGGTGATGTTAATGTGGTGAAATTCACCGCCTGCGTCCAGTAGTAATTAGTGATGCATATGTCAGAACTCTATAACACTTGAAACTAACCAATTAATCAATAAATGATCTCATTGGAATGACGAGTAAGTTGTCCATTTTTCCCCCTTTATTTAATCGTTGTTTTTCCTATTACAGAGTCGATGTATTGCTTTAGAAATCTTTTATTTACTAATCCCATACCACGTATACTCCTAGTCAATAGTAATAATAATAATAACAATGGAAGTATAAATCGGAAAGAAACTGTTCTCATCGATTACAGGTATAATTGTATTGTTTTTATTCATCATCATTTTCCTCCCCAACAGTAAAGAATAGATACTACAGTTAAATCACCTTGAACCAAACAATCAGACTCTTCTAAGTGGAAAGTGGCATTTATTGTATTCAGATTCAGCAGCATTCGACTCTGTCGATCGGGAAGTTCTCTGGAGATGCTTGGCTGTAAAGGGAATTCCAAGAAAATATATTACACTGATTAAGGCACTCTACTCGTACTCATACAGCCAGGTGAGGGCTTACGGCGAGCTGTCATCTGAACTGATGACGACCAGTTGTGTCCGTCAAGGATGCCGATTATCTCCTTTTCTATTCAACTTCATCATAGATGTGTTAATGGACTTAACCCTAGGTGACTTCAGCGACTCAGGGATTGACTTGCTACCAGGGAATAATCTCGTTGACTTGGAATATGCAGACGATATAGTCCTTTTAGGCGAAGACGCTGACGAAATGCAGAGTCTTCTAAACACCTTGAGCCGCAATCTACGAATGTTTGGCATGCGATTCGCTCCCGCCAAATGCAAGATGATGTTACAGGACTGGACTACATCGACGCCTAGTTTAAAAATAGGAAGTGAAGTGGTAGAGCACGTTGACCGCTTCACTTATTTGGGAAGTACCATCAGCCCCCACGGGTTGATCTCTGACGAAATCTCAGCACGAATACAAGGGGCTCGTTTCGCATTTGTTAGTTTACGCCGTCTCTGGCATAGACGAGATATTCGACTATCAACCAAAGGATGGGTGCTCATCAGTGCTTTCCATGCTCCTTTATGGTTGTGAGACCTGGTCACTGAGAGTGGAAGACATGAAAAGACTAGCTGTCTTTGATCATAGGTGCCTGCGTTCTATTTCCCGTGTAAAGTGGCATAATAAGGTGAGCAACATGGAGGTTAGGCGTAGAGTTCTAGGTAAACAGGGGAAATCAATCGACGAAGTCGTGAAGCTACAAAGACTGAGATGGTTAGGACATGTGTTACGTATGCCAAGCCATCGCCTCCCTCGACGAGCAATGTTAGTGGATATAGGGTCAGGCTGGAAAAAAGCTAGCGGCGGTCAAACAAAAACTTGGCATCAGTCAATGAAATCCACAACAGTTGGTCTAAGCCACGTAGAAAGGTGTAGACTTCCAGGCTGGGGTCCTCGGGACGGTAAAAATCTATGGTTGGAAACAATTGGTGACATGGCTCAAAACCGTTCTCAGTGGCGCAGATGCATCCACTCCCTGTGACTTATGATCTTCAATGAAACTGTTTTGTATTTCTTTATTACTCCTTTGTCTCACACCTCTGCTCACTGTTTCTATTATGCTTTTCTTGTACTTTCTTCTCTTGCTTCGCGTGCTACACGGAATGTGGCGACTTGAACTTCCGCACATTTGTGCAAAGTTCTATGTCGAAAACAGACAGACAGACAGATTCAGATTTCGGATTTATTGGTTGAGGATAGAAGGCTTGGAGCCTATGTTAATCCTTTTCTAGTAAATTTCTGTGCTTGTCCAAACCCTTCTTGAATGAATCAGCTGAGTCGGTTCCTAGAGTTTTTGACTCGATGGGAGGACCAGTGCTCAACAGCTATATGATTTCTTCTTGGTTTTTGAACTCTCCTGCTATACCCCCTAAGGTGTTCCGACCTTTTAGGAAGGAAAAGAGAGAATAGGTCAGGTCCGTAGTCATTATTTAAAATTTCAAACATTGTGATTAAATCTCCTCTCTGCCTACGGTGTGACAGTGAGAAGAGATTGAAACTGTCTAGTCTTTCCTCGTATGATAAGTTAGTCATGCTGAAGACCATACGTGTTGCCTTCCTTTGAACCCTTTCTAGAATATGTGAGTTCCCTTTAAGACAAGGACTGGCTACCTGGATAGAGTTTCCTAGTCTTGACCTCACCAGAGATGTAGATAAGTAGGTGAATGTATCTCTGCTGATTCTAGTTAAGCTGCTTGCTTTACTTCGGCTATCTCCTACGGGAGGATGAGCCGGCTTCATGAACAAGAGTTCATGAAGTTTCATGGGAATTGGGTACGAGTGATGTCCCCAGAATCGCTCGGCCTTTTGTTTGAGAGTGCAGCTCTAGCCTTTACACAACCAAGTGTGACCTACAAGGCAGTAGGAGTGGAGTAGGGAGTCCACTATCCATTGGCAGCCGGTGACCGGAGTCCGGTTCATTCTCCTTTTTGAATGGGGCCAGTCATCCAGGGCATCCAATAAGCCCTTTTTTCCATACGTCTGCCGGTGAGCTCCGGTGAGCTTCATACGCCAGTCGTTGGAGGTTTGGAATCAGGGTTTAGCCATCTCCCTTAGACTGTCATCCAATGGACAGTCAACCCGGTGAAGAGCGCCGGGCATCCGCTTTTGCCCTCTCACTTTGGTGAAAAACACCTCCGCCACGTGAAGGCAGTGAGTAGGACTTCCTCAGGAGAGGCTATGTAAGACGCCCGGTCATATGGGAGCATTTCAAGAGGTGTGCGGAGGGGTGGCCAACCCGCAGCGCAAGTTAAGGCTGTATGAATTGCACATAAGGATCTGAAACTACGTACAGCCACCGCGTGGCGGTGTGATGTAGTTTTTTAAATCGTGACTACGTGTGACAGTTAAATCCAAATGAGTCTGAACTGATGGTAAAGTGTCTTTATAAGATATATATATGCGATAAAATTTAATTATACAGAATATTTATCTCTAGTGTGCTGCAAAAAGAGACGCGAGTTTCTCACAGAAGTGTCTGTAGACACTTCAAACCAGTGTCGTCACAAAAATTCATCTAAGGAATCATTTATCATTCTAAGACGTTTTTTTAAATGGTCCCAGAATTCTTCAATGGAATTTGTATGAGTTCCAGTCATAGGATTCATCATTTCAGAAGAATCATTGACTTTATGATGAATGTGAATAACCTCTTCACTCATCTGTGTGAATGGTAGTGCCTAGGAGGAATAGTCGTTGTATAATTGGCATTAAAACGGCACTACTGTTTGGAATGCGTTCTAAAAAAATATCATGGCCAAAGTCAAGGTCTTTCAAAAGTTGACCTCCAAGAACCGATTAGGATACAACGAATGTTATGAAATGTCATTCCAAATCAAATTATCTGTGCCTTTTTTAAACTTAGAGAGGGTAGATACAGTGTTCTATCGATTTACTAGGTACTTTTTTCTGCAAATCTATACTGTTAGTTAGAGATATGGCTATTAAGATTAAGGTTTAGTGTCTAGGGGGTTAAGTTCAGGTGATTAGGGTTAAAGTTAGGATTATGTTTAGGGTAAGAGTAGGTTGAAGAATAGTGTCATAAAGAAAAGCAATGAATCTCAAAGTAACATGACCCACAGTCAATGGATGGATGGATGGATGGATATATCGCGCATGGTACGACTTACTTCTCTATAGATCTTTGCTATTTTTTCACTCGTGGAAAATTCCCGTTGTAACATAGAAAATCAAAACAAGTGATGATTCAGCGAAAAGACTCTTTTCGACGAATTTATCATCAAGCTGTTTTTAAGAAGTTATATCCGGTGAGGGGATTGAATCATAGATGTGAATGGCTATCGAAACAGAAGAGCCAGATCTCTGTGTACAGAAAAAGTTCGTCCAACCCCTCTAACTTTCATGGTCTTAATCCCTCGTCTATGCTAAAGTATGGTAATCCCCAATCATATTTTAGCTCTACCAATTTTTCATTTCGTCTATTCAATTTGTAGTCTCTTCCTTATTACGTCAGTTGTTACTATTACTACATTCACTTTGAACTGTCCCCGTTATTATTTCACTTGTTCCACTTGTCATTCTAAATCAATTCTTCTTTTTTACAACGTTAAATTCTATGCTATCGAATTTCACACAATATTACGTAACGTTTTTATTTTATTCGATTTGTCTACTAATCCTATAATTACACACCCTTTTTCAAGTTCTATCCATCCTATGAATTACTCTATATATGACATTAATTTGCTTTGCCACTTGACATTTAACTATGATTATAATCACAAACATTTTAGTTTTTAATTGCATCTCATACTACTATTATTATTATTTTATGCATTCACACCTATGATTCAATTCCCTCACCGGATATAACTTCTTAAAAACCATATATATATACGATTGTACAGCTTGATGATATATTCGTTGAAAAGAGTCTCTTCGCTGAATGGATCACTTGTTTTGATTTTCTCCATAGATCACCTGTGTATTGACTAGGAGACATTTTTACAACACATAAGCTACAACTCTGTAGTGTAAAATCAAGTTTGCAATATTTTTTAAGCGTATTTTTCAACGATTATGATACGTTTTTCATTTGAATTCTGATTGGATGTCCAGGGTCACCGTGGTTTTGGCTATTATATATATATATATATATATATATATATATATATATATATATATATATATATATATATATATATATATATATAGTTTAACTTTGCCGTGTTGTACAGTCTTAGCTCCCAAACATGATTTACTCTACTTCTGCTGCGATTTATTTTTCGTTTGATGAGTACTGTTTCGCCAAATTCCTCGAAGTACACAGCTAATTCCACTGATCTTTTGTGAGGTAATTAATATCCCAAAAGTGCGGATACTGATACGATGGCACTGGTGATATTTTAGTATTCTGTATTTCCGCAGCTGTAACAGATGATGGCCATCTTAGTGTAGCCAACTGTGGCATACAATATACAATGTTCTATTAAGACAGAGTTTCAATGTCGAGAAGAAAGTGTCTAAAAACTCATCATAATGTACAACTTTTGTTTTTTTGTTCCTTTACGTTCCCCAGTGGAACATAGGGGGCTTCAAGCTAGAGTCTTGAAGTTTCGGTAGCAGTAGTGTTTATTACTTTTACGAGATGGCGTTGATAGCCTCATGCCTTCCAACCTTCTCCCTTTACCGGTCTTATTACCAAATTAGCGAGATAAAGGAGAGGAGTGCGTTGGGGGTGGCCAGGGATCGAACCCCCAGATCATATACGTGGTGGTTGGTGAGCATTCTACGGCTATGCCTACCGACACTCAATGTACAACAAATTACTAAATATTATTTCTGAAGAGTCATTATCCCCCACCCCCACCCCACCCCTTCGCATATACATGTCCTAGTCCTCCTTAACACAAGCCATTTTCTATACAGAAGTTAAAAAAAATTAAATCTAGGTGAAACTTTTGCAGGGAAGATTATGAACAGCATCTGTTTATGTGATGCTTAGCGATCTGATTGATGCGTTCAAGGTCGTTTGGCCGTGGTACATATTCTTTACTGTTTGTTGCCTCATATCTCATTGTTATCTCATGCTTTATGTCATCCTTTATTTCTTTGCGGGGTTTTTCATGTCACTCACAAGTTCACCAAATATTGCTAAACCATTTCATTTGGGACATTTTCGGGCTACAGTGATTGGAAATTTTCTCAAACATATCAATGAAGCATTTGGACACAATGTGATTGGAATCAATTATATTGGCGATTGGGGAAGTCAATTCGGTAAAGAAAAATAATAATAATAATAACTTTTATCTTATGTGTTTTTGTGAAGCTCATACTCAATTATTTACCATGACTTGATTGATGCTTTTTTCACTAAATTGTTTATTCAAGTGTTGGTTTGTAGGGATTTGGTTGGTTTAAGGACTTCATCAAGAGCTGACATTAGTTAGAGAACTATTGGAAAACCAGTTGGGAGTACTGAACAGCTGTTTCCTCCGTCCTAGTTTGGGACTCTTCATCAGTACGCACCCACCGACAGGGTTCGAACCCAGGACCTTCTGGTTACAAGGCTGGCGAGCTTGTATACCATTAAGGCAACACTTGAATACCAATGAGATGCTCACTGGCGAATGGCTCTACTCAGGTAGGTGGTTACCTGGGTTCCAGTGGGAAGTCGTGACCAGTAGGGTGCAGCAGGTCGGCTGGTGTGAGGACAAATATTCTCCGAAGAAGACATTGGCTAGCGGTCGCGCTATGTTGTGAATTGGCAGGAGTTAGAATTCAAGGACCATTGGATTGGGTCCCTGTGGCTTAATGGTCTACGAGCTCGCTAGCCTTGTAACCAGAAGGACCTGGGTTCGAACCCTGTCGGTGGGCGCGTACTGCTGAAGAGTCCCAAACTAGGACGGAGGAAACAGCTATCCAGTACTTCCAACTGGTTTTCCAATAGTTCTCTAACTAATGTCAGCTCTTGATGAAATCCTGAAATTGTTTATTATTGTTATTATTATTTTCTTGGTTTCTGAGTGGAGCGAGCATAGGACTTTCACATACGTACCACATGTCGTAACCACCTCAGTCTTTGTAACTTCACAACTTCGTCGATTGATTTCCCCTGTTTACCTAGAACTCTACGCCTAACCTCAATATTGCTCACCTTAGTATGCCACTTCACACGGGAGATAGAACGCAGGCACCTATGATCAAGGACAGCTAATCTTTTCATGTCTTCCACTCTCAGTGGCCAGGTCTCACAGCTGGCCATAAAGGAGGACGGAGCGGACTGATGAGCAGTACACCCGCTCTTTGGTCGATAGTCGAATATCTCGTCTACGCCAGAGACGGCGTAAACTGGCAAATGCGAAACGAGCCGCCTGTATTCGTGCTGAGATTTCGTCTGAGTTCAACCCGTTGGGGCTGATGGTACTTCCCAAATAAGTGAAGCGGTCAACGTGCTCTACCACTTCACTTCGTATTTTTAAACTAGGCGTCACTGTAGTCCAATCCTGTAACATCATCTTGCATTTGGCGGGAGCGAATCGCATGCCAAACATTCGTAGATTGCTGCTCAAGGTGTTTAGAAGACTCTGCATTTTGTCAGCGTCTTCGCCTAGAAGGACTATATCGTCTGCATATTTCAAATCAACGAGATTATTCCCTGGTAGCAAGTCAATCCCTGAGTCGCTGAAGTCACTTAGGGTTAAGTCCATTAACACATCTATGATGAAGTTGAATAGAAAAGGAGATAATGGGCATCCTTGGCGGACACCACTAGTCGTCACCAGTTCAGATGACAGCTCGCCGTAAGCCCTCACCTGGCTGTATGAGTACGAGTAGAGTGCCTTAATCAGTGCAATATATTTTCTCGGAGACAGTAGACTGTCTCCACCGTACTTAAATACCTCTGGAGTCATTCCATCAGGTCCCGCTGCTTTGCCTAGTTTCAGATTAGTGACAGCTTTAGTAACCTCAGTTAGGGATGGAGGACCTGTGTCTATTTCCCATTCAGGGAGGTGTTGGATGCTCGGAAGGTTGAGCGTGGCTGTGGGCCAATTAAACTGCTCCTCATAATGCTCTTTCCATCGATCCAGTCGTCTATCTTGGGAGCTGATTAGAGTGCCATTTTTTTCCGAGATTGTTTCACTAATGATTTGTCTTCTCCCACCCGTTTCCCTGATGAGTGTAAATAGTTGCCTGGTGTTGCCTATCCTTGAAGCTTTCGCCATCTTTCTCGCTTTTGCCACCCACCACTGTTCACGGTCCTTGCGGAGACTTTTCGTAAGTTTCCTTTTGTGCAGCTTTCGCTCCTCATTGAATTCGGAGCTCGCCGGAATAAGTCTTCTAGCATCTATCAGTTCGGATGAGGCGGTGGAGATCCAGTGGTTTTTACTCACCTTTGGGTTTAGCTTATTCACAGCTTTTACAGCTGTATCTATGGCTGCCTGGATATTTTTCCAAGCTTCTTCAGGGTGAGCACAGCTGTCGAACACATATGTGTTTAGCTAGTTCTTCCTCAAATACGGATTTAGTTTCCTGATCGAGCTGGGGACGTGATGGTTTTACCGCCAGCTGTTTCCTACGTCCGTTCAGTCGTAAGCATACCCGAGCGCGGACCAGTGCGTGGTCGGTATCTACACACGTGTTCCAGAAGGAGCGAAAATCTCCTACCGACCCACGCCAACGATAGCTTATTGCTATGTGGTCTATTTGTGTCCAGCGTTGGTTTGATGAAGGTGGTTGTTATGTACTGGTCGAGAATTTAATAGTCCTGACGCAAAAAAGACGGAAATCAGAAGACCACGAGGTTTGCGATGATACTTCTATTTTCCGAAACACCAGTAGAATCAATATGTCACACGAGAGTGTGAGAGAAAAATATGAATGCCCGAACAAGTGTGTGAGCGAATATTCAAAATGAACAAATCAATAGACAGTCTTAACACGATTGGCTAATCATAATGGAATATCGATCCATGTATACATAGTAAAATATAACAGACTGTCAAACAAACACACATATATGGATACGTATCAGTGGTCTCCAAGTCAAACAGTGTCTCTCCTTGTGTTTGAAGTTAGTGCTTACAAGAAACAAATGATTATCAGAACAGAACTGTAGGAGACGGTCACCGTTGTCGGTTCGCTGGCACGGAACTCCATAGGTGCCACCGACATCCTTCTCAGATTGACACAATTTCCCTACTTGAGCGTTAAAGTCACCAGCTAGAACGACTATGTCTGAGCGTTTAGCCTTTCGCACCAAACTAGACAGCTTTTGGTAGAACTCATCCTTCGTTTCATCTGAACTGCAGTCAGTGGGGGCGTAGGCGGAGATTACGAAAAGGCATCGGCGAGTAGTGCAGTCCTTTCTCCTTTTTACTGATCCGTTCAGACGGACAGCACACATTCGGCTATCTACCGGGATCCAGTCAAGCAATGTCTTTTCTGCCCTAGTACTCAAAGCTATCCCTACGCCAGCTAATCCTCGTGAACTAGCTGTGGCATCTCCTGACACCCTCAAGGTGAATTTTGCAGATTCAACCTGTTGGCCAGGTGGGGTTAGGTGAATAACCACACTTGGGTCTTGTATGCGTGTTTCTGAAACACAGCATACATCAATGGCTCGTGATGCCAGGGTCTTGGCTAGTGATGCTTGTTGTCCTATTTGGCAAAGTGTCCTAACATTAAGAGCTCCTATATGAAATTGGTGGCGCGGCTTTAAGAGGCTGTCGGTGGTGGTTTTTTGGCTTCCATCGTTTTTAGTGGACGCAGAGTGGAGAGGAAGTGGAGAGCTATCAAGTCGAGGAGTTGCATCAGTGGAAGGAAGGCAAGATGATAGAGATGAAGATGAAGACAAAGATGAGTGAGTAATAGAGAGGTTTCGCGTGCATTTCGGATTGTGAGGGCGATTGTTACTTCCCGGCTGCCCACACCGTGGAAGTTGGTTGCGTGACCGCAGAGCCCAGGGGACAACTGCTTGAGGCCGGTCACACGCGGCCTGCTTTTGTTTGTTCTTTGTTGTTTGGTGTGCCTCAGTAGCATATTTATCACTCCTGCCCTGTGACACGGCAGCAGGAAGCGCGGTCGTTGTTAATCCGGGCCACGGCCGATCCGGCATGAAATTTTGTGATTTTGTATTTATCATGATGTTGGATTGGGTAGCTGCTTTTTGTTTAACCGCTATCCAAACAACCTGCCTGGCATGGTAGACCTCAAGAGACATAAGTCTCAGCCAGTATAGCTTGAATAGATCATTGCGGTGTTCAAGCCCGACCACCACGTCAAGGTAGCAGCTTTCGGTCGGGAATAGTGTGTCTAGTCCTTTGTTTGGTACGGACTGAATTCTATTGTCAGTCAAGTTTCCACTCTGATGACCATTCTAGATGCTTCGGCATCACATATATATATATATATATATATATATATATATATATATAAGTTGTATTTAAAGTTTATCTATTTCTTATTCGATTCATAACCTGATAGTATATGCCATCACTGTCCATGTTTAAAGTGATGAATAGTTTATTTTGAAGATGGTATTGTTCAGCAAAAAAGAATTTTTAATGAAATCTCAAGAAACGGGTTTGTCTTCTATCCAGGTTTCTAAAGAAGAAACATCATTAATTTATGCAGTAAAACACGACTTTGGAAAATAATGGGCACCAAGAGAGATGCAGCAGATAATATTTCATAGTCCGCATGCAACAGCTGGGATACTTCTTAGACGCCGAGATTGAAGTAGGTGGTTGTTTTAAGAGGCCGTCACCTTGCTTGTTCTGTCTGTCTGTCTGTTTGTTTTCGACGTAGAACTTCGCACATATGTGCGCCAGTTCAAGTCACCACACTCCCTCCTTGTAGCACACAAAGCAACAGAAAAAAAGTAGAAGAAATGCATATTAGAAACAGTAAGTTGAGGTGTGAGACAAAGGAATAGTAATAACGAAGAATAATATAGTCTCCTTGAAAACTATAAGTCACAAGGATTAGATACATCTGCGCCATTCAGAACGATTTTGAGCCATATCACCAATTGTCTCGAGTCTTCATCGGTTGTTAACGTTCCGAGCACCTGAACCAGGAAGTCTACATCTTCCTACTTGGTTAGCTTAAACTAGTTGTTGTGGATTTCATTGACTGATGAAGCCATGTTTTCGTTTGACCACCACTGGCCCTTTTTCCAACCTTAACTATCCTATACCAGCAGCTGACATTGCCCGTCTGTCGAGGAAGGCGATCAACGGCTAGATGATGTGACTTCACAGCCTCTTCTATTGATTTCCCCTCCTTACCTAGCCTAACACTCGACAGAAGCGTAACCTCAGTATTGCTCACCCTACTATATCACTTCGCAGAGGAGATAAAACTCAGGCACTTATGCTCAAAGACAGCTATCCGGTATTTTCATGTCATCCACTCTCAATGGTCAGGTCTCACAGTCATAAAGGAGAACGAAGCGGACTTCTGAGCAGTACACCTCCCCCTTTGGTCGATAGCCAACCGGATATCACGTCTACGCCAGAGATGGAGTAAACTGACGTATGCGAAACAAGCCCTCTGTATCCGTTCTGAGATTTCGTCAGAGATCAACCCGTTGGGGCTGATGCAACTTTCCAGATAAGTGAAGCGGTCAACGTTCTCTACCACTTCACTTCCTATTTCTAATCTAGGAGTCAGTGTGGTCCAGTCCTGTAATATCATCTTACATTTGACGGGAGCGAATCGCATGCCAAACATACGTAGATTGCAGGCCTTGCTTGTTACTGAGCCTTTTTTGACTTGAAGTCTGGTCCACACGGCGGTGGAGGGTAGCGTCAGGACACAACTATATCCCTCATGGTTTGTGGTGTCTAAAACTGATTGGCTCATATACCGTCATTTGATCCTTTCGGATTTCAGAACTCATGTACACCACCATCACTACTACCACCGTATAGGTTAAGTTTGGAATCAGGGTTTTTCAGCATCCTCCCCGCCTCCCTAAATGTAGAACCCTACCTGTCCACTAGTTAAATTGTAAGCTCTGCAGACACTATCATTCGGGTTTTCCCTTTCGCTTTTGTAAAGAACACCCACCACACCCAGCATGCTATGTAAAGGCAGTGAAGGCGTGGCTGGCCACCTGACAGTATTTCAAGTGGAGGACACGGCAGTCTGTCGACCCTCAGTCCGAGTACTAGGTCGTTTATAGTGAAATAATTCGCTCTTGGTATCTTTGCATACTGTTTTATCTAATAATTTACTTATTATTCATTTATATACCACATACAGATCTATTAACATCAGCATTTTTAAAGTATGGAAATGAGAATGAATTTCAAAAGAATCCTATTGAATATTTATATAAGGTAAGCAAGTGAGTAGGTGAGTATTGATTTTAATAGTGTGTACATGTACACTTGAATATCAGTCTTATGCTTTCTAGCAACTCCTCTGGGTTCTGTTATTATTATTATTTTTGTTCCCTTGGGTTGCTAGTGGAACATAGGGCTTCAACATAGGGCACATCTGCACTTCCTTCTGTCTTGCTTCTGCTGTACTTCTCACCTGCATCCATGTTCACCATCCATACTGTTTCAACCCCTCTTCACACCATCTCCTCCATGTCACCCCTGCACTGACGACCCACTCGCCGCTTCCCTTTCGTCCTGATTCCACTCGAGAAATGACCTGACGCGCGTGCGATGTCACCCAGTGGCCTCCTCAGCGAGTGAGTGTCCAATCTGTCATCTCCACTTTCTCCTGCATATTTGTGTTGGTTGGCGATTGGTTCTTGTTTTGTTTGTTTGTTCTCATAGTTTCTTGTTGGTGGTGATTCTTTCCGGCCCGGCCATCTGATCTTCAGTATAGAGCCAGCGAAGACAGTTGTTGTTGTTGTTGTTGTTGATAAAGGTCTGAGTTAGTCTGTTGGTTGGAAATATTCTTTGTGACCCGCCCGCCCGCCCGCCCGCCCGCCCGCCAAGTTTCTGATCCGTTCCGTATAGAAGAACTGACTGACTTGACGTTCGTTTGTATTGAAAATCCTACGGAATTTTGTTGTTGATGCTGGCTGAGTGACGAAGATTTCCAGATTGATTTCAGGTTGATGAATGTGTTTCTCGCCCACCACCCGATTCTCGCTCGATTTGACATCCTCATCAGTTCCGACTGCTTGTAGTTGAGACAATGCTCCCTAGATAAGTGAGTGAATGAAGTAACCTCTTTCAAATTCCTCCCCTTGATGGTGACTGTTGCTGGATGTTGCTGCTGTTGTTGCTGTTGTTGGTTGGTTATTTTCATAACCTTCGTCTTGTCTATGTTCACCCGGAGTCCTGTCTTTGTTGGCTGCTTCTTCGACCAGTTTGTCGGTTTTCGCTTGTAAGTCTTCGATTGTGTGTGACATCAAACATAAATCATCCATGCGCGAAATTCAGGTCTTTTAGGTTCTTCATGTCGGTCCAGAATGTCTCTGTCTGCTCTTTTCCCACCGTCTAACCCTGGGTTCTGGTGAGTCGTAATGATTAGTTGGGTATGGTAGGTCGGGTATCAGGACAAATAGTCGCCACAGATGACATTAGTTATCGCTAGTCGCGCTATATCGTGAATTGACAAAAGTCGGAATGCATAGACTGGTTGGACCATTGGATCAGGTTCCAGTGAACGGCTTAATGGTCTGCAAGCTCACCTTGTAACCGGAAAGTCTTGGGTTCGAGCCATGGAGCTGGGTGGAGTTCGTACTGCTGAAGCAGAGTCCTCGACGAGCAATGTTAGCGGACATAGGGTCAGGCTGGAAAAAAGCTAGCGGAGGTCAAACAAAAACTTGGCCTCACCAGTCAATGAAATCTACAACAGTTAATCTAAGCCACGTAGGAAGGTATAGACTTCCTGACTGGTTGGGGTCCTCGGGACGGTAAAAATCTATGGTTGGAAACAATTGGTGACATGGCTCAAAGTGATCGTTCTCAGTGGCGCTGGCGCAGATGCATCCACTCCTTGTGACTTATGATTTCCAATGAAACTGTTTTGTTCTTCGTTATTACTCTTTCTTTGTCTCACACCGCTGTTTATTGTCTCTGTTATGTATTTCTTCTACTTTCTTCTGTTGCTTTGTGTGCTACAAGGAGGGAGTGTGGCGACTAGAACTGGCGCTTATTTGTGCAGAGTTCTATGTCGAAAACAGACAGACAGACAGAGTCCGAAATCAGGCTGTCTAAACAGCTAGCTATCCAGTACTCCCTGTTGGTTTTGTAATAGTTCTCTAATCGATGTTAGCTCGGTTATGAAATCCTGTAACCAATGTATTATTATTATTGTTTCCTTTAGTTCCTAGAGGAACATAAGGCTTCAGCGGCACGTCTCTATTGTGTTCGGTTATCCACCAACGTTTTCGTCACCTGGCTCCTCGTCTGCCCACATGCTTTTCATCATTTCTTCACATTACCTCCTCCATGTCACCCTCTCACTGATGACCAACTCGTTGCTTCCCATTCGGTTTCCACTCGAGGAATGTCCTGGCGAATGAAATCACTCACTTGATGGCCAATCCACCTCCATTTCTTCCTGCATACTTATTACACAATCGGTTCCTGCGGGGTTATTTTGCTCCCAGAGATCCCTGTTGCTGATCTTCTCTGGCCATCTGATCTTGAGTAGTATTGAACGAAGACAGCTGTTGATGACAGTGTGTAGTTTGTTCGAAGTGCCCTGCGTGACTTTTCGAGCACTATCATGTCAAGTTGATATGACCATGAGCAATTGTTTGTGCTCGAAACGTCATCAGTTAATATTACTGTATAACACTGTGTGATTTATCAAAATAAAATCTAATATATAATGGAGTCATTCTGAGTTCTGTTGACCTCCACACAGACTTGAGAGAACTGAAGCCTTGCGTTGATTTACCCCGAACCATGCTTTGATATCCTCCCCAGTTCCATCCGTCTATAGTTGAAACGATGCTCCCCAGGTCGGTCGGACGGCAAGAGAGGGTGCTTCTTCCAAATTTCTCCCATTTAAGCTGATTGTTGTCTGTTGTTGTTATTGCTGTGGCGGTTGCTGCTGGCCAGGAATCTTCATCACCTCTGTCCTCTCAATTTTCACCTGAAGGTCTGTCTTCTCTTCTTCTTCTGCCAACTTGTTGCTTTTCACTTGCATATCTTCCAGTTTGTGGGAAATCAGACATATATCGTCGGCGAAGTCCAGATACTTCAAGTTTTTTGTGTGAGTCCATTTTGTGCCTGTTTCCTCATTGCCCGTTTTCTGTCGCATTATCCAATCTACTGCAATCAAGAAGATCATTGGCAATAGTAGACAGCCTTGCCTCACTCCCGTCTTCACTTCGAAGGATTCCGTAAGTTTCCCGTTGTGGATTACTTGGCATGCAGCATTATCGTATATTTTTTGGATGAGATGTATAATTGTTGGCGGCACCCCGTAGTAGTGAAGGAGTAATTGCCAAACCACCTCTCCTTCGACTGCGCTATCGGAGGCCTTTTCAAAGTCAATGAAATTGATTGAGATAGAGAGGTGACTGCCATTCCAAGCTCTATTCAATGATGATCTGTAGTGTTGCGATTTGATCGATACATGACTTGTTTCTCCTGAATCCAGCCTGTTTCGGTCGAAATTTTTCACCTAGAGCGACGTGTTTTATCCTCTCCAGGATGATACGCCTTAGTATTTTACTTGGAATGGACAGGAGCATAATGCTGGGACAGTTCTTGCATTGACTTAAGTCTCCTTTCTTTGGCTGCTTGAATAAGTAGTCCTTCTTCTAGTCCGCAGGTACCTTGCCCTCTTTTCACACCTTCTGCAGTAGTGATTGTACTAGGCGTCTACAACGTGTCAGCCCCTGGGTGGACCAAAGATTTCAGTCCGATAGAATTAGTCACCGGGAGTTTCTAGATAACTTCAAAAAAAAAACAACGAAAAAATAACTGATACTAGTGTTGGCCGGTGTGGCTGGCTGAGCGCATTTGCACAGTGGAGATAACAAAACACCTTGACCATTTGAGACGATGGGTCTTGGATGGTTCGAGTCTCAATCTCATTGGCGAACATCGTTACTGACTGACTGACTGACTGACTCAATTGGAATATAGATAGGTACATTCAATTGACGAATCCCCAAGTGTGGGACTTGATTCGAATGCTAGGTGTGTGTGTGTATATATACATACTGAAAAATTAGTATCTACTTCGAAAAAAGAGCGAAAATTAATTGATATAAGTATAAAACTGTGACACTCTGGTATAATATAACTCCATTTTGGTTAAGTACTTATTTTGATAAATCACACAGTGTTGTTATACAGTAATATTAACTGATGACCACGTTTCGAGCAAAAACTATTGCTACTCATCATTTAATAATAGTAATGATAATAATAATAATAGTAATAATTTCGCTTTAATTCCAGAAACAGTACTGGCGGTACAGTGTGGAATTTTCAGCACATATCTACAATACTGCATCTAATTTCGTCGTACATTTAAAAGGAGTATTACAAAAAATAAATATAAAAAACAACAACAACCAAAAAGAAACAAAAAAAATAACAAAAAAATGCAAATAAAAATATCAAGTAGAAAGGAAGATAAACACCAATAATGAAAAAATATTTCAGTATTGTGTAGTGGAAGCTATGATATGTGTATGCATGGTGAAACAGTAACAGCTATAATCATACAAGAAGTTATGAAATGATATTTAAGAATGTTTATCGCCAAGATGATCAGTTCGATTTGATTGAACTACACTAAACGATCATAAAATAAACATTTCAGGGTTTTTATTTGTATTGTCAGCACTAATGCAGTGTTTGTTGTGGTAGTGTGAGTAATCCTGCATAATATAAAATTTTTAAGATGGTGATAGTGGCGTTTACAAACAAGATTGTCAGTTAAATAGTGCCAAACAAAGAACAACCATAAAAATTAATATTACATGATGGTTAATGACGGGACAATTTTGTAATAACCATAGTGATAATATAGTCGGACCCAGTAGATGTACAAAGAAGGAATAGAATAAAGAATAAAAAAGTAAGCCAATGATAGTAATTTTAAGTAGCTAAGTATGTATAAGAAGGTTGTTCACTATAGAGTACAAATAAGAGAGTATAAGGGGGAAATAACAAGGGCCAAAATTATGTTATTAACAACAAAGCAAGTCATAGGTTTCACGCTTAACATTGTCTGTCACTTAGAACATGGGCTGGCCAGATATGCTGTCGTTGAGTTCCTATACTCGGTTGTACGAGCATATATTATTTTGTACTGATTTCTGGTTCTACTTGATGAGATACAAGGAGAGAGTTGGGAATAGAAGGGGTGTTTGGGTTTGGAGAGTATGGTTTTAAACCATTTTTCGCATGTATTCAGATGCTTATCCACTAAGGTAGTGACGAACTGACTGAGTTTTACACCATTAGTCCTAATAACTACCTTCAACATCCTTCTCAGGATGGTATAGTCCTTCTTCGCTAAACCAGGAAAGACTAACGGGGAGCAGTAAAGTAGAATAGGTAGGATACAAGAGTTGACAAATTGTGAAAGCAGAGGTTGAGTGACTCCAGTTAGTCTGAGTTTCTCAATGTGTAGTAGGTTAGACGAAACACTTTCTTGGAAATCATTTGGATATGAGATGATCAAGTAAGGTCGGAAGATAGAACTGATCCGAGGTATTTTTTGCATTAGACTTAGTTTCAATTTTGAGTCCCCTCAATGCTACAGGCATCATGAGTGCTTACTAGTGTTTGTAGATCTCGTTTATGCCTAAAGGCGAAGTCAATAGTCTGGCATTTTGAGGGATTCAGCATGAGGCCATTTAGTTTCGACCACACTGACTGATGTCCGACAGGAAGCTATTTAATTTGAAGCAGTCTGACTTAGACTTAACGGGAAGTGAAACAGTCAGGTCATCTGCATATTTGACGTAGTTGATTTCGTCTGAGAGAGGTAAGTCATGTAAGAAGAAGGAAAAGAGAAACAGCGAGAGAACAGCACCGTGAGGAACACCAGCTTCAGTAAGCAAAGGAGAGGAAGCTACACCATTATATATATACCATCAAGTTACTCACACAACTTTTTTGCTTCATTTATCTTTGAGATCAGATAAATTCCGACATAATATTAGTGTTGTCAATCGAATACAATCAGATGGGAAATAAGACCGAGTGTTTTTATAGTCAAAATAAATAAATGAATAACTTGTTAGAATGTCATAATGTACGTTGATTGAAGTGGAGTTTTAAGATTATTTATTTTTTTCCTCCTCTGATTTGACCGACTGACTAACTGGCGGTAATAATATCTTCAACACATATTTCTGGTATTTACATTGACTCATTTCTGTTGCATGTGTTGGGTATAGATTCACTCGATGAACCAGGCAGGATTCAGTAATCAGTCTCTCTCTGTCTCTCTCCACCTACCTATATTGCTTCTTAGAATTTTAATCCCCTCCCAACTCGTGTGGGGTTGTGTGTTAATGCATGAAGTGCAATTGCTCAGCTATTTTCTAAATAACTTATCTTTTTTCTGGATCAACCATTCTTACCTTAGCCACCAAATTCTTATGTTTCAACAATCTAACTACCCCCGACCCACTAGTTTGACCTATGTAGTTGACTTCACAATCATTGCAGGCCAGGGTATTTTGTAAATCATATAATTTTGTCTAATTGGGTCAACTTGCAGGGTCCTTTAACCTACAGAGCTTGTCTTCGCTGAGTGAGTTTTTAGGGGGTTTAAATGTCACCACCCTAATTCCTGCTTTATTGAGAATCCTACCACGTAGGGTCTCAGATGTCCCCTCCCCTCCTTGTGTGGTATAACATTGGATGACTTATATTCTCTGTTATTTATTTTATCATTATTATGAATTTCACCATTATTTTCATTCTGCTTTTGACCTGTATTAAAGTATCTTGGACTTGTTCTCTCTTCTGATCTCTCTCTCTCTCCTGGTGTTCCCATGTCTTAGCAATCTCCAGTAAAATATTCCGTCTGACATTTTATATTAAGAAGTTAAGGCACTCGGGTATAACTCAACCACTCCTCTTACAGTTCATAAACTCTTGCATCCAACCCATTCTTCTTTATTGTTCACCCTTATTATTCTTTCCTGGTTTGCTTAAAAGGGACTATGTCACAATTCGTAGAATGCTGAAGACTGTCAGTAGAGTGAGTGGTGTCCCAGTGGACCACATAGTTAATGTTGTTATCGATAGGCACTTAACTTCGTGCAATAAATTTGCTAAAGGGATTTTGTCTGACTTGAAGCATCCACTTCACGTTCAGCTTTCACCTTGCATCTCCTCAGGTAGAACAAGAAGTAACTTCAGAAAACTGTATGCTCGCACGTCTAAGTATAAAAATTCTATGATACCATACTTGGCACGTATTTTATGTGATGAAGATAGTGTCAGGCAAGAATTAACTAACCTTTTTTCATCTAGTAAATAAACAATTTCCTTCATCCATCCTTATATACCTTCAAGTTTCACTTTTATTATTTCTATTATATTTATGGTCCTGTTGCTTCTTCGTTTGTTTTACTCTCATAATTGCAAACATCAACTTATCTCTATGACAATTGGTGGATGGCGGCTAGCAGTGGAATCCAGAATGCGCATTTCGTCCTATTTGGGACTCGTCATCTGGATGTACCTGCATTTCTCAGTGAGTGATGATGTTCCCACTGAGGCTCGAACCCAGTACCCATAGTTTCGAACGCCAAAGCGTTATCCACTAGACCACTTGGGCCACGAGAGCCACCTCTTGTGCAACGGGTCATATATTAATTATTGAATTGAGACCGAGCACTTCGGTCCAATCAATCGACGGGAAAATCAAAAATTCAATTCAATTATCTCTATGACTGCTGTAATCTTTGTTTTTCCCCTCACCATCTCATGTAAAGAGAACATTATATCCAATATTTTTAAACATGCTAGGATTTCTATACCGCATATAACGGCAATACTGTGTGAAACAAGCCCATGGCAATTTTCACTTGTATTCTTATTATTATTACCTTAGCTGTTATCATTATTATTATTATTTCCATTTTATATGCTGCATGTTTTTGACATCACGCCTATTGTAAATGTGGAAAACTTTCTGTGTGATTAATTTTTATTTATAATTTGAGGAAATTAGATGCAATTATTGATATAAGTATAAAACTTGGGCACTGTGGTAGAGTATAATTCCATTATAGATAAGATTTTCTTTTGATAAATCGCACAGTGTTTACAGTTATATGAACTGATGACGTTTCGAGCATAAACTATTGCTCATAATCATATCAAGTTACTCACACAACTTTGATCTCTCATTTATATACATGTGTGGAATGGATTAGATATTGGATTAAAAATCAATGTGAGATAATGTACATTCAGAAATAATCGTACGAGTGTTGTTGATCTATTGCAATTAGATGGGAAAATTGGACGAGTGTTTTTACAGTCATAATAAGCTGCTTGTTAGAATGTGTTTGAATTGAAATAGAATTTTAAGATTATTTATTATCTTCTTCTGGTTTGACTGATGGCATTAGTACGAGTGTTATTGATCTACTATAATCAGATGGAAGGTACGACGAGTGTTTTAATAGTCATAATAAGTTTTTTGTTAGGATGTTGTGATGTGTTTGAATTGAAATAGAATTTTAATATTATTTATTACCCTCTTCTGATTTGACCTGCGGTAATAATATCTTCCATATCTCCGGTATTTGCATTGAGTCATTTTTGTTGCATGTGTTGGGTGTGGACTCGATAAATAAGGATTCCGTAATCAACCTCTCTCTCCACTTAGCTATATTACTTTTTAGAATTTTAACCCTATCCCACCCTATCGTGTGGTTGTTTGTTATTGCATGAAGTGCAATCGCTGAGTTTTTTTCTAAATTACTTATCTTTTCAGGGTCAACCATTCTTACCTTAGCTAAATTCTTATGTTCTGTTAATCTGACTATCCCTGACCTACTAGTTTGACCTATGTAGTTGACCTCACAGTTATTGCAGGGTATTTTGCAAATTATATTATTTTGTTTAATTGGATCCACCGGGTCTTTTAGCCTATAGAGCTTGTCCGTGAGTGAGTTTGTAGGTTTGAATGCCACCCTAATTCCTGCTTTATTAAGAATCCTACGTAGGGCCTCAGATGTGCTTTCCTTATATGGTATAACAGTGGATGATTTATATTCTTTCTTATTTGTGTTATCATTAATAGTTTCACCATTATTTTTATTTTGCTTTTGGTTTTTGCTGATCTTCCTAATGAATTTTATAGGATAGTTATTCGACATCAACGCTTCTTCTATCTGTTTTATTTCATCATTTAGGTCTTTTTTTGTGCTACCTAGTGCTATGGCTCGATTTGTTAGACACTTTACTAAGCCTGCCTAAACAGTTAACGGATGAGACGAATTAAAGTCTAAATATCTATTAGAATGCGTTGATTTTCTATAAACACTAGTGTGTAGTTTGCCTTCTTCTATTCGTTTTATTTTACGATCTAACATAGCTAATTCTCCTAGTTCATTTTCTGATTCAAATGTGAATTTAATTAGATGCAATTAGATGCAACATTGTGATTCATGCTGAAAATTCCATTGTGTATCACAAGTACTGTTTTTGGAATAAAGTAGATTATTATTATTATTATATTCCTAATGAATTTTATAGGATAGTTAGTTATTTAACCTACCTATCTATCTACCCTTCTATCAGTTTAGATAATCTCTTTTGTACATATATATATATATATATATTGATTTCTATTTTAACAGTTATATGTTCAAGCCAATCAAGATGAGAATCTGTTAAATGAAAGAAAGGCGATAACTCAGTCATATATCAGTCATGCAAATGACTCGATGAGGTCGCTACACCGAGCAGTGATGCATTCTTTCCCGGTAGAAGAGTCTCTCAGAACTGATTTCTTACAACGAGTGCGTACAATAACCAATGAACAGTTGAAATTGAATTATAAGGTAAGATTTATATTATTATTACTATTATTCCCTTGGGTTCCGAGTGAAAAAACATACGACTTCAGCGACACATCTCCACTTTGTTTTTATTTTCTGCCATATTCGCTTTAGCCTAGTCCCCAACGATTGCTCATAATCTCCTGTCTCCTCCTCCTCATACGATGTCCCACATGTCACTTCTGAAGTCTGTCTGTCTGGATTCAACATAGAACTTGGCACCGAAGTGCAGCAGTTCGAGTTGCCACGTTCCAAATAGCCCACAGAGGTAGACAAGAAAATGAGTGAAGAGAATCAATAGAGTTTGATAAGGATAAGAGTGAAACAGAATGGGTAATGGTAGAAAGGAATATGAAAGATTACAGAGACTGAATACATCTGCGCTGGCCATTGACAACGATTTTGAGCCATGTCACCTATTGTCTCCAGCCATTGATTCCTAGAGTCCCGAGGGCCCCAACCCGGGAGTCTGCATCTCCCTACCTGACTCAGTTTAACTGTCAAGGATTTCATGGATTGATGAGGCCATGTTTTTGTTTGGCCACCACTGGCTCTTTTCCAACCTGAACCTATATCAGCTAGCAAAGCCCGTCGGGGGAGGCGGTAGTTAGGCATGCGCAGCACGTGACCTAGCCATCTTAGTCTATGTAACTTTATAGCCTCGTCGATTGATTTTCCCTCTTTGCCCAACACTCTACGCCTAACATCAACATTACTTATCTTGTGAAACCACCTAACGTGAGACAGGGATCGCAGACATCTATGATCGAAAGCAGTCAACCTTTTCATGTCTTCAACGCGTATTGGCCATGTTTCAGAGCCATAGAGAAGGACGGAGCGAACTAATGAGCGGTACACACGTCCCTTGGTTGATAACCGGATGTCACGCCTACGCCAGAGATGGTGTAAGTCAGCGAAAGCAGCTCGAGCTTTTCGGATCCGTGCTGAGATTTCATCGCCAATCAGTCCGTTGGTGCTAATACAACTTCCCAAGTAGGTGAAGTGATCAACATGTTCTATCATTTCCCTCCCTATCACTAAGTTAGGGGTTGACGTGGTCCAGTCCTGTAGCAGCATCTTACATTTTGCAGGGGCGAATCGCATGCTAAACATACGAAGATTGCTGCTCAAGGTGTTCAGAAGACTCTGCATTTTGTCAGCATCCTCCCCTAACAGGACTATGTCATCTGCATATTCTAAGTCCATAAGATTATTCCCTGGTAACAAGTCGATTCCTAAGTCATTACGTTCAGTTGAGGATACTTCCATTAGCATATCTATGATGAAGTTAAACAGAAATGGGGAAAGTGGACATCCCTGTCGGACACCACTGGTTGTTACTAATTCAGATGACAATTCCCCATAAGCCCTTACACGACTACGTGAGTTTGAATAGAGTGCCTTGATTAGTGCAACGTACTTTCTTGGCACTCCCTTCACAGTCAGACATTGCCATAGTACCTTTCGATCCACTGAGTCGAAGGCCGCCTTCAAGTCAAGAAATATGGCAATTGTTGGACGCCGAAAAGTGTGTCTATGTTCTAGAATCTGTCGAAGAGTGAAGATATGATCTATGCATCCTCTACCTGGTCTAAAGCCTGCTTGATTTTCCCTTGTCTGTTCCTCCCGAGTTCTGCTTAGTCTATGCATGATTACTGAGCCTAGGATTTTAGAGACTATGTTCGTTAGGCACTTCTGAAGTGATGACCAACTTGTCGTTTCCCTGTGGGATTCCACTCGAGCAATGGCCTGTACTAAGCGTGATGTTATTCAACGATCTCCTCACTGGCGCGTGCCCAATCCACCTACATTTTCTTAGCAATAGTTCCTTGGTTAGTTTTTTTTCGCATAGAGTTTCTTGTAGCTAATTCTCTTTTCATGGTCGAAGAAGAGTCGAATTCCTTCTTTCACTTCCTTGATGTTAAGCTAGATAGAAGAGAGAATGGAACGCTGTTAAGGTCGATTTACCGAAAGCCAACATTCACAGGGCAGGACACTAACTTCAAAAGTAGGGTACCTTTAGGGAGAAAGTGAAATCTTATTCATTCCTTATGCTCCAGAATTCGTAAAATCTACTCTATAGAGGCAATCGGTAGAGAACTAGATAACTTTCGATCAAATCTCCTTAACAATAGATATCCTACAGGGTTTATTGAACGTAACATCAAAAAGAATCCGTCCCTAGACAAATCACAGTGTCGAAGAAAAAAACTGTTTATGAGTCTGGCATTCAAAGGTGACACCATTTCTGAATTGATTAAAAATCATTTATTTAAATGTATTAAAGGCACTTTTCCTGCAGCTGACTTACAACTAGTTTTTACCAGCCGAAATATGTTTAGACCAATGCGTCAAGGATAGATTACCGCTTTTGTCCACATCTATGTGCATTTACTCTATTACCTGTTCTTGTGCAGCTGATTATATTGGGTGTTGTAAGCGTACTCTCCAAAAATGTGTAGCTGAACACTATCCGGTTTGGTTAATGAAAGGCGAACGTAGAACTGCAAAGTCGTCTATTTGTGATCACCTGTTAGAGTCTGGTCATTTAGCCAACCACACGTGATTCATCTTTCAAAGTTATCTATCTACGTGGCAAAATCGAATCGATCCAAAAGTTTACGTTTTCTTCACTTATGCATAGTCGAAGCTTTAGCTTTAATACCCTTGATGTGCTTAAATGTCTCCGGTCTCTTAAGCCTTCTCAAAGCCTTGGTCCTGACGGCATACCTGCCATTGTCCTCAGGAACTGAGATGATATTTTGTGTTACCCTCTTACTAACATTTTTAATGCTTCTTTTTCCGGTAACTTTCTACCTTTTGCATGGAAAAACATTAAAATTATCCCTATACCAAAACCGTCTTCTGGTTCTGATATTAAATTTCGACCTATTGCAATTACTTCCCCCTTTTTAAAATTGATGGAAAAATTACTTTTACTTCGTCTTGAACCCGCATTGAAACCTTTTAATGATCCTAAACAATTTGCATACAAACATGGTAGAAGTACCTTGGATGCTGCGGTCGTCTTATATCACAATGTTGTCTCTTGTTTAGACAAAGGTGCTAAATATGTTCGTAGTGCTTTCTTAGACTACACATCTGCTTTTGACTCGGTACCTAGGGGCCTTTTGTTAAATAAGCTATCGTTGATACAAACAGGATCCTGGGCTAAGAGTTGGTCGCATTCCTATTTTTCTGATAGAATGCAGTATACTGTATATAACGGCAAATCTTCTTCTACCTCGCTTACAAAATCTGGTGTTCCACAAGGTGCTGTCCTCTCTCCTTTTCTTTTTTCTTTCTTCCTACATGACCTGCCCCATTCAAACGAAACTAACTTTGTTAAATATGCAGACGATCTGACTGTATCACTGCCTATCACTTCCGAGTCTGACAGCTCCAAACTTAATAGCTTTCTGTTAGACATCAACAACTGGTCCAAGTCAAATGGTCTTATGTTAAATCCTTCCAAATGTCAGGTGCTTGACTTTACTTTCAAGCATCGACGTGACTTACATGAACTAGTTAGTTCGCATGATGCCTGTAGCATAGATGGCACGGAAATTGAAACCAAATCAAGCATTAAATACCTTGGAGTAGTCCTTTCCTCTGACCTTTCATGGTCATCCCACATCTTATCTATCTCTAAGAAAATGTTTCGTCTTACCTTCTACATTAAAAAGTTAAGACAATCAGGTATCAACCAACCTTTAGTTTTGCAATTTTTAAACTCGTGTATTTTACCTATTGTACTCTATTGCTCTCCATTAATCTTTCCTGGGCTTCTCAAAAAAGATTATATCATATTACGAAGAGTATTAAATGCTGTGAGTAGAGCTTGTGGTCTGCCACTGCATGAGCTCGCTAATACTATAGTCCAAAGGCATATAAATTCCTGTATGAAATGGGCAAATGCTATACTGTCAGACCCTCTGCACCCCCTTTATTCACACCTGTCCCCTTGTATCTCATCAGGTGGGACGAGAAGTCAATATAAAAAGATATATGCTCGTACTACTAAGTATAGAAATTCTACAATACCCTATTTAGCGCGTACTTTATGTGACGAAGACTCTGTTAGACGTGAAACTTACAAGTTACTATGTAATTAGCACAGTGAATCGACCCTTTTATCGTTCATCTTTCTGTATTTTATGGTGTCACACTTTCTATCGTTTAAATCGTTACTCTGCTATTTTATATTAGTTGGTATTCCTATTATTACTACAATTTTGTACTTTATGCATATTTTTCACCGTATGGCATACAGTATTTTGCTATGTACCTGCTATAACAATCGTTTTATTACTATTATGTATTGTATATTTTTAATTTTTTTTTGTCGTTTTTGAGTAAATTAGATGCAATATTGTACTGAATGCTGAAAATTCCTTGCTGTATCGTCAGTACTGTTTTTTGGAATAAAGCAAAAATTATTTATCATTATTATCATTACATGAACAGAAACGTAAATTATTTGTGTTCAAAAGCGTTTTGTCAAACCCCTTTCTTTAACCTTGGTCATAGTAATTAATGTTCTTTCTAGTTTTTATTTTATTTTATTTCTCACCACTTGAATTCTTTCCACTTCACTCCACATCTTCATTCATATCGTGATCGTACTCCTAATTTTTTAAAATTTTTAGGCAACACTTGACATTTTTGATATCAATTCACTTATAAAACAAACTTTAATAATTTTGTAATTCATCCTTGTTCAACTCTACCTCTGATAACATTTTAATTATGGTTATTCTTATCACATATATATCTGTATATTGGCTGAGAAATTATTTAGTGTCACTTAAAATAACTTTTTCTGTACAGCTTGAAGATGAAATTGTTGAAAAGAAATTTCTTCACTGAACAAAAATGCTGTGTTTTTTACTTATGAATTCTCTTTTTGGTGGTCATTTGATCTTCAAAATGGAGCCATCGAAGGCGGCTGTTGTGATAATCATCTGCAGTAGTATGCTTTTGGAAATGCTTGTCGTGTCGAACTGGCCAAGTTTCCGACCCTTATAGAAGAACTGACTGACTGACTGACCTCCTATTTGTGTTGGGAATCCGATTCAGTGCAGAAGATTTCCAAACTGCTTTGAGGATGATGATGAAGGTGTATCTTGCCTTCCTCGATGCTGACTGGATTTCACACCTTCATCCTTTCCGACTGTCTGTAGTTGAAACGATGTTTGCTGGCTAGATAAGTAAAGGAAGTAACCCATGTGAAATCTCTCCTGTTGATAGTGATTGGTGCTGATTGTTGCTGTTGTTGTTGTTGGTTAGTCATTTTCATCGTCTTCGTCTTTTCTATGTTCACCTGAAATCCTGTCTTCTCTGCCTGCTTCTTCAGGCAGTTTGTTGGTTTTCGCTTGTGAGTCTTCGAGTTTATGTGACATATTAAGTGACATTAGTCATCCGTGAAATCCCGACCTCCTACAGTCTTCTAATCGGTCCAACGTATACCTGTCTTCTAGTGCTCCCCATAGACGACTCTCTGACGCATAAACCAGTCCACCAGTTGGGAATATCATCGTTGATATTAGGCAGGTAGACTTGTCTTACTCCTATACTCACCCCAAACGCTTCCCTAAGTTTTCCATTGTGGATCATCTGACACGTAACATTTTCGTATAGTTGTTATGAATCAGGTTGATAAATTATATATTTTATATTTTTTTCCCTTCACGCTCCCCAGTAGAACATTGGGCTTCAAGCTAGTGGCTTGAAGTTTCTGTAGCAGTGTTTGTTTTACAGGATGGGGTTGCTTGCCTCATGCCCAACCTTTCCTCTTTACCAGCATTATTTCTGGCTTGGCGAGGTAAAGGAGTAAGTCGGCCGGGGATCGAACCCCGGACCATGTAAGGTATGGTCGGCGAGCGTCCTAACCGTTATGCCACCGACACACAGGTTGATAAATATTTGGTCCGAATTACTTCTCGGTCAACACTGTCTGTCGAAGGCCTTTTAAAAGTCGATAAAATTAAGGTCGCTAGTGAACTCAAATCAGATTAATTATCAAGTGTCCGTCTCCAGGGGCGTTGGACTGCTTGTTGTTACAGGTTTGGATACGAGCTGACTAACATCAATTAGAAATACCATTGGAAAACATCACTGGACGCAACTATTTCATCCTAGTTTTCTCCTGGTTCTCTCACTGGCTGAATAGTCTGTGAAATCGTCTTGTAACCTGAAGCTTCTTAGCTCGAACCATGGTGGGTGGTGCATACTACTGAGAAGTCTCGAAATAGGACGAAACGGCTGAGTCCAGTACTTCATACTGGTTTTCTAAAGGTTTCTCTAACTGATACTAGTCAACTAGTTAGGAAATCTTGTAACCAATCAAATTCATCGCCTAATCAGTTAGTAGTTCACTTTATTATTATTATTATTATTATTATTATTATGTTATTTGCATGAAATGATGAATAATTCATTTTTTAATAATTTTTAATTTATTTATATTTAGCGTATGAATGTCCAGTTTACATCGTTTGAATATGAATCTGATTATGTGAATAAAGCTCATTTACTTGTTGAAAAGTTATTAGCTATGGGTTTAGCCTACAAAACACTGTGAGTATTGTTCATTTCAATAATTTTCTCTTCAAATTTCGGGTTTTGTATGTGCCTAGCAGATTTGAGTCATGTTTTTTTTTTACTTTAAAAGTTCACTCATGAATTGACATCGAGAAAACCACCGTTGAAAACTAGCAGGTAATACTAGAGACAATCAGCTGCTTCGTCCGCATAGTTTTTTTAGACTTTTCAGCAGTATGCATCTGTCTGTCTGTTTTCGACATAGAACTTTGAACTAATGTGCGCCAGTTCAAGCCGCCACACTCCCTCCTTGTAGCACACAAAGCAAGAGAAGAAAGTACAAGAAAAGCACAAGAGAGACAGTAAAAAGAGATTTGAGGCAGAGGAATAGTAATAACGAAGAACAAAACAATTTCATTATTATTGTTATTATTATTGCTCCCTTGGGTTCCTAGTGGAACATAGGGCTTCAACTGCACGTCTCCATTTGCTTCTGTCTTCTGCTGTACTTGTCTCCTGCATCCATGTTAGTCCATATTCTTTCAACTCCTCTTCACACGATCTCCTCTATGTCACCTCCCACACGCCGCTTCCCTTTCGGGTTCCACTCGAGGGCTTCGCGCGCGATGTCACCCAGCGGTCTCCTCAGCGAGTGAGTGTCCAATGTGTCATCTCCACTTTCTCCTGCATATTTGTGTTGGTTGGCGATTGGTTCTTGTTTTGTTTGTTTGTTCCCATAATTCGTTGTTGGTGATTCTTTCCAGCCCGGCCATCTGATCTTGAGTATAGAGCGAAGACAGTTATTAATAAAGCTCTGCAACCTTTTGGAATTATTCTTTGTGACCCGCCCGCCCGCTAAGTTTCTGATCCCTATAGAAGGACTGACTTTACGTTTGTATTGAAAATCCGAATTTTGTTGGTGATGCTGAGTGACGAAGATTTCCAGATTGATTTCAGGTTGATGAATGCATTTCTCGCCCACCACCCGATTCTCGCTCGATATGACATCCTCATCGGTTCCGACTGCGTGTAGTTGAGACAATGCTCCCTAGATAAGTGAGTGAATGAAGTAACCTCTTTCAAATCCCTCCCGTTGATAGTGGTTGACGTTGGATGTTGTTGCTATTGCTGGTTGGTTATTTTGATAACCTTGGTCTTGTCTATGTTTACCCGGAGTCCTGTCTTCGCCAGCTGCTTCTTCGACCAGTTTGTCGGTTTTCGCTTGTAAGTTTTCGATTGTGTGTGACATCAAACATAAATCATCCACGCGCGAAATCCAGGTCTCCTAGGTTCTTCACGTCGGTCCAGGATATCCCTACCTCCTCGTTTCCCACTGTCTGGCGCATAATCCAGTCAGTTCACCACAATTAGGAATATCATTGGTGATAATAGGCAGACAGCCTTGTCTGACTCCTGTGTTTACTCCAAACGCCTTGCTGAGTTTTCCGTTGTGGATCACTTGACATGTGCCGTTATCGTACAGCTGTTGAATAAGGTTGATGAATTTTTGGGGTATGTCATAGTAGGTCATACAAAACAATTTCATTATTATTGTTATTATTATTGCTCCCTTGGGTTCCTAGTGGAACATAGGGCTTCAACTGCACGTCTCCATTTGCTTCTGTCTTCTGCTGTACTTGTCTCCTGCATCCATGTTAGTCCATATTCTTTCAACTCCTCTTCACACGATCTCCTCTATGTCACCGGGCTGGTAGGTCATACTACTCCAACACCAAAGCTCGAGTCCGAGTGAACGGTGAAGAGTCCCGCACTTTTGAGGTAACCAGCGGTGTCCGGCAAGGTTGTCCAGCATCCCCCATCCTGTTCAATTTCACAGTTGATTGGATTTTGCGGCACGCCCTAACCGAGCACCACGGCGTCCAACTTTCGCCCGATATTCACATAACCGACCTCGAATTCGCCGACGACGTCGTGCTGTTAGCTGAAAACTTCCCCGATATGCAACAGGCGCTCGACCAGATAAACCACCTCGCGTCTACTATCGGTTTGAAAATTAACACTTCCAAAACCAAAATGTTTTCGAACACATCCGCCGGCAATGATGAAATCTTATCCTTAAATGGAGCACCTATTGAAATTGTGCCATCCTTCAGATATCTGGGATCCATAATGCTCCCCAACGGCCAAGCGAAAAACGAAGTGAATGCGCGAATCTCCAACGCCCGGAATGCGTTTCTACAGCTGAGGAGCGTTCTATGGAGCAAGAGAGAAATCAGTCTCAGGACTAAAATTCGGATCTACCAAGCTTCCATACGACCCGTTCTGCTGTATGGCTGTGAAACCTGGCCTCTTCGCGCGGAAGATTTACGCAGACTCGAGGTATTAGACCATTGGTGTCTCAGGTACATTCTGCATGTTCGTTGGCAGGACAAACTCTCCAACGAAGAAGTGCGTCGGCGTTGCTACAACATCAACCAAATTCCAGTACTGGTCCAACAACGCCGCCTTCGGTGGTTTGGCCATGTTCTGCGCCGACCAGATGACGATCTGGTCAAATCAGTTCTAAATCCCTCGCCATTACCATCTTGGCGATGTCGCAGAGGCGGACAGCTGAAGACATGGCTTGGTACAGTCAAGGCAGATATGGAGTGCCTGGGGCTACAAACGGTCTACGGACTCCGTATGTGGAACAAGAATTGGATATCCCTATCACAAAACCTTGCTTCAGATCGCCGCGCCTGGGCAGCGATGATTCGAGACGTTCATGAAGCCGGCTCATCCTCCCGTAGGAGATAGCCGAAGTAAAGTAAGTAAGTAAGTAAGTATGTCATAGTACTCGATCGAGTAATTTCCAGATTACTTCACGGTCAACGCTGTCGAAGGCCTTCTCAAAGTCTATAAAGTTGAGGTAGAGGTTTGATCGCCATTCCATGCTTTGTTCGATGATGATGCGTAGAGTTGCAATTTGGTCAGTACATGATTTGCCTTTCCTGAATCCAGCTTGTTCTGGTCGGAGTTCTGTCTCCAGTGCGTCCTTTAATCTCTCCAGGATGATGCGACTCAGGATTTTACTTGGCGTCGATAGGAGCATGATTCCTCGCCAGTTCTTGCAGAGTGAGGCGTAAGTCGCCCTTCTTTGGTAGTTTCACGAGGTAACCTTTCCTCCAGTCAGTAGGCACCTTTCCCTCCTTCCAGACCTTTTGCAATAATGGAGTCAGCATGTCTGCTGTAGTCTCTGGGTCCGCTTTCAGTGCTTCAGGGGGTATTCCATCTGGTCCGGCTGCTTTTCCAGCTTTCAGAAGCTTGATTGCATTCAAGACTTCAGCTCTCGTTGGAGGATTGGTGTCAACTTGCAGTTGTGTGCGCGCTGTTGTTGGTATTTCTGGACGGGTTGCAGGTGATGGTCGGTTCAAGAGTCCTTTGAAGTGATCCGCCCATTGTTTAATCTGTTTTTCTTCCTTGGTAATTGGGTTCCCTTGGCTGTCTTTTATAGGTTTCGCTTGTGTTGATCTCTTCCCGGATAGAGATTTGGTTATCTGATATAGTGTCCTCAGGTCCCTTTTGCCTGCTGCCTTCTCAGCTTCAGTGGCGAGGTTGTCGTAGAATCGTCTTTTGTCCTTCCTAGCACTCTTCTTCACTTCTTTGTCCAGTGCTGTGTAAGTTGAGCTCAGCGTCTCCTTCTCCTGTCCGTCCTTGCATTGAATCATTTTCTCTTTCACCATTCTCCTCTCTTCTATTAATTTCCAAGTGTCCGTTGAGAGCCATTCCTTGTCTTGTCTCTTCTTTCTTCCTAGAACCGTTGAACACGTTTCGTTGAGAATCGCCTTCAGAGACTTCCAATGTTCTTCCACGCATGATTCTTCAGTGATGTCGCGTAGTGTTTCCTGCTTTGCTCTGACAGTTGCAGTGAAAGTGTCTTTTGTGGTTGTGTCCTTCAGTTTTGAGTGTTGAACTTGCATTGTGGCCTATCCCCAGCTATCCTCGAGGCTTTTAGTTTCACCTTGAAAGTCCCTTCTACTAGATAGTGGTCTGAACCCACATCTGCTCCTCTCCTTGACCTTGTGTCCAGTAGGCTCCGTCTCCACTTTCTTGAAATTGAGATGAAGTCTATTTGGTTCTTGGTGTTTCCATCTGGTGAAATCCATGTCGTCTTGTGTATATCCTTGTGTTTGAACACACTACCACCAATCACCAAATCATTGAAGGCGCAGAAGTCTGAGAAGAGTTCACCATTGTCGTTCATTTCGCCGAGGGCCTCACGACCCATGGTGAGTTCTCTTCCTGTGTTGTCTCCTCCCAGCTTCGCATTCATGTCGCCCATCAGGATTTTGATATCGCCATTTGGGACGTTGTCCATTATTGCTTGTAGTTGTCTGTAGAACGCCTCCTTCTTCTCTTGTTCTGAGACGTTTGTAGGCGCATAGCATTGAATGACTGTAACTTTCCTTCCTTTTGAGTTGAACCTGGCTGTCATTATCCTGGAGGAGATTGGTTCCCACTGCATGAGAGCTTTGGTTGCTGTTGGTGACATCATGATGGCCACTCCCTCGGTGTGCTCATGGTTGTCCTCTGGGTGGCCGGAAAAGATTACTGTCTCTCCAGTAGGTAGTTGGCACCTTCCAGTTCCGTTCCATCTGCTTTCGCAGATTCCCAACACTTCTATTCTGTACCTTCTCATTTCAGCGGCTATCTGGGCAGCCTTTCCAGTTTCGTACATTGTGCGAACATTCCAGGTACCCATCCTTACTTTTGCTTTCATCGAAAGAAGGCACATCGGCTGACTGGCTTCCCGAAGGCTTTCACCAGCCTGCGTCATTTCACTTCCCCGATTCCAGCGAAAAGTAAGGCTATTGCTTATGTTTTTAGAATTTTTAATATATTTATTCGTTGAAGTTTCTGTAGCGATTTGGTTGTTTTACAGGGGTGGAGTTGCTAGCACCACGCCCCAACCCTCCCTCTTTACCCGGGCTTGGGACCGGCTAGAAAACTAGCGAGCTAGTAGCCTAGCAAGCTAGTATCTGGCGAGGTTAAACAGTTTCATTGGAAATCATTAGTCACAAGGAGTGGATGCATCTGCGCCAGCGCCACTGAGAACGATCACATTGAGCCATGTCACCAATTGTTTCCGACCATTTGCTTTTACCGTCCCGAGGACCCCAACCAGTCAGGAAGTTTACACCTTCCTACGTGGCTTAGACAAACTGTTGTATATTTCATTGACTGGTGTCAAGTTTTTGTTTGACCTTCGCTAGCTTTTTTCCAGCTTGACCCTATATCCGCTAACATTGTTCGCCAGTCGAGGAAGGCGATGACTAGGCATACGTAACACATGTGGTAACCACCTCAGTCTTTGTAACTTTACAACTTCGTCGATTGATTTCCCCTGTTTGCCTAGAACTCGACGCCTAACCTCAATATTGCTCACCTTAGTATGCCACTTCACACGGGAGATAGAACGCAGGCACCTATGATCAAAGACAGCTAGTCTTTTCATGTCTTCCACTCTCAGTGGCCAGGTCTCACAGCTGGCCATAAAGGAGGACGGAGCGGACTGATGAGCAGTACACCCGCCCTTTGGTCGATAGTCGAACATCTCGTCTACGCCAGAGTCGGCGTAAACTGGCAAATGCGAAACGAGCCCCCTGTATTCGTGCTGAGATTTCGTCTGAGTTCAACCCGTTTGGGCTGATGGTACTTCCTAAGTAAGTGAAGCGGTCAACGTGCTCTACCACTTCACTTCCTATTTTTAAACTAGGCGTCACTGTAGTCCAATCCTGTAACATCATCTTACATTTGGCGGGAGCGAATCACATGTCAAACATTCTTAGATTGCAGCTCAAGGTGTTTAGAAGATTCTCAATTTTTTTCAGCGTCCTCGCCTAGTAGGAGCAGTATGCATCACTTATAATTTCATCGAGAGGTGGTGGTCGAACTCAGAATCACTATGTTAAAAGGCAGGCAGTCTCTTAGACCATTCACTCATCGCAATGCAATCAAATAACCCATCAATTTCAACTCCTTTGCCACTTCATTGTATATCGTGTGAGACAGCCAACCAATGTCATCGGTGAGTATTTCTTTTCACATCCAGCATGTTAGAATGTGAATTCTACGACTTCCCAGTATGATTTCAGCTAACTTCATCTTGTTTGAACTCAGTTATACTAGTGAAGACTGGGTTAATTTTCAAGTGTTGGTGTGAAGGTAGGGATTTGACTGATTGAAAGACTGACGACAAAATGACTGCAATTAGAGAACCATTTAAAAACCACTAAGGAGTTAAAGTGGACAGCAGTTTCGTCTTTTTTTGGGACTGTTTAGAATTACGCACCAGTGACCACACGGCTGGGGGGTGTTCCAAAACACGACGCTCGTTCAAGATTACTAGGCGAATGTGGTTATCTTCTAAATGGGTCAGAAACTTGACTCATGCGTCACAAAAAACATTTTCAACAAAGTACAGAGTTCTACCAACAGCTGCCACTTTCTCTGACTTCATACTGAAGATTATATGACAAGGTAGAAAGAATTAGTAACAGGGAACTCTCTGAGAATGAGTTTATAAGTAATTGACGAGCCAGATAAAGACGACTTCAAGAAACAAGATGAAACGGGAGATGTGCTGTTCAGGCCCTTCTATGTTACAGTAGGAATCCAAGGGAATCATACATGTATGTATGTGTATATATGTAAATAGTTGGGTATTTATACGAATACTACGGCGTAACTCAAATATTCATCAAACTTATTAAACAGCTGTACGATAACGGCACATGTCAAGTGATCCACAACGGAAAACTCAGCAAGGTGTTTGGAGTAAACACAGGAGTCAGACAAGGCTGTCTGCCTATTATCACCAATGATATTCCTAATTGTGGTGGACTGACTGGATTATGCTTCAGACAGTGGGAAACGGGCAGACAGAGATATTCTGGACCGACGTGAAGAACCTAGGAGACCTGGATTTCGCGCGTGGATGATTTATGTTTGATGTCATGCAAAATCGAAGACTTACAAGCGAAAACCGACAAACTGGTCGAAGAAGCAGCTGGCGAAGACAGGACTCCGGGTAAACATAGACAAGACCGAGGTTATCAAAATAACCAACCAACCAACAACAAAAGCAACAGCCAGCGACAATCACCATCAAGGGGAGGGATTTGAAAGAGGTTACTTCATTCACTCACTTATCTAGGGAGCATTGTCTCAACTACAAGCAGTCGGAACTGATGAGGATGTCATATCGAGCGAGAATCGGGTGGTGGGCGAGAAACACATTCATCAACCTGAAATCAATCTGGAAATCTTTGTCACTCAGCCAGGATCAACAACAAAATTCGGTCTGATTTTCAGTACAAACGAACGTCAAGTCAGTCAGTTCTTCTATACGGAACGGATCAGAAACTTAGCGGGCGGGCGGGTCACAAAGAATATTTCCAACCAACAGGCTAACTCAGACCTTTATCAACAACAACAACAACAACAACTGTCTTCGCTGGCTCTATACTGAAGATCAGATGACAGGGCCGGACCGGGCCGGAAAGAATCACCAACAAGAAACTATGGGAACAAACAAACAAAACAAGAACCAATCGCCAACCAACACAAATATGCAGGAGAAAGTGGAGATGACACATTGGACACTCACTTGCTGAGGAGACCGCTGGGTGACATCGCGCGTCAAGCCCTCGAGTGGAACCCGAAAGGGAAGCGGCGTGTGGGAGGTGACATGGAGGAGATCGTGTGAAGAGGAGTTGAAAGAATATGGACTAATATGGATGCGGGCGAAAAGTATAGCAGAAGACAGAAGTGGCAAGTGGAGACGTGGCCTATGTTGAAGGCCTATGTTCCACTAGGAACCCAAGGGAACACTTATAATAATTATACACTTTCATTGGTATCTGAACAAATTTCCCACTCTTTATGATTATTATTTTTTAAAAAATTAAAGTTCACTTTTTTTCGATTTTGTCTCTTTTAGTGATGGATTGATATGCATGTCAACAGAAAATGTTGCTGATGTAAATTTTTCAAGACAGAATATTGTCTTGTTGAAAAGTGACAAGTCAACTTTATACTTGACCAGGTAGGTAGGTGGGTGCGCGTGAATCTGAGACAGTGATCGCCTTTTTTTAAATTCTTTATATATTCCCAATTATAATATTAGAACAAGACATATTATTATTATTATATCCTTTAATTCCTAGAGGAACATACGGCTTCAGCTGCGCATCTCCATTGCCTTCTGTTTTCTGACAACTTTTTCACCTCGCTCCACGTCTGTCCACATGCTTTCATCTCCTCTTCACATGACCTCCTCCAAGTCACCCCACCGTGGGACGACCAACTTGCCGCTTCCCTTTCGGGTTCCAATCGAGCGATGGCTTGTCTAGTGATGTCACTTGATGGTTTCCTCAGGGTATGACTAATCCACCTCCATTTCTTCCTGCTTACTTGTTGCACAGTCGGTTCCTGCTGGGTTAGTTCGTTCGCTGATTGCCAGAGATCCCTGTTACTGATCTTTTCTGACCGGCCATCTGTTCTTGAGTATTGAGCGAAGACAACTGTTAATGAAGGTCTGAAATTTGTTTCACATGCTCTTTATGGCGCACCAAGTATCTGATCCGAATAGTAGCACTGACTGACTTCACATTGGAGTTGAAAATCCGGATCTTATTTTTGATTCTGAGTGAGTGTTGACCTCCACACAGACTTGAGAGTAATGAAAGCTTGTCTTGATTTTCCAATTCTGGCTTTGATATTCTCGTCAGTTCCGTTGGCCTGCAGTTGAAACGATGCTTCCCAGGTAGGTGAAGGAGGTTGTTTCTTTCAGGTTCCTCCCATTTATGCTGCCTGTCGTCTGTTGTTGTTGTTACTGTCGCTGTTAGTCAGGAATCTTCATCACCTCTGTTTTCTCTATGTTCACCTGAAGTCCTATCTTTGATGCTTCTTCTATCTCCAACTTGTTGCTTTTCACTTGCATATCTTCTAGTTTGTGGGAAATCAGACATATGTCATCATCGGCGAAGTCCAGATCCTCCAAGTTCTTTGTCTGAGTTCATTTTATGCCTGTTTCCTCATTGCCCGTTGTCTGTCTCATTATTCATTCTTCTGCAATCAGGAATATCATTGGCGATAGTAGACAGCCTGAACAAGACATATAAGCGAACAATATTGTTGCTTTCAATTAGATCTTCTTCAGGCTTTACTCTAAGTTACACAGATTTTTGTATAAAATTTTTTAACGAATGACGGTGATTTTGTGGATCAAATAATAATAATAATGTGGTAGATGATTTGAACGTAATTAATAACGATGATTATAATGATAACCAAATATTGATAAGTTTTATACAGGTGGCGATAAGAATAACAAAGGTAGTATATGTATGTATGTGTATATGTAGACAATTCAATAAATAAATAAATAGATTAGGTCACATCTTAAAAGGTGAAATGGAACGATAATCTGAGTTCAAATATCATAAAAGTACGAGGGAGATGGAAGATAAGAAAGGGTGGATGAGAGGGTTTTGAATAGAATTCATCTAGGCCAGGTAAGGGAGAGACAAAGGTAGAACATACTTCTTTTGTATGCAAAGACACGAGGATTGTTCTCTCGAATTAATTCCCATCGCTTCGTCTATGGGTAAAAAAAGGCAGGTTCGAATTCCGTTCGAAAGGCTCGATGGAATGCGACAGATAACTTTGAAGGCACTATTTTTGTCCACTTGGTAACTGCTATCAATCAAATGAGCCAAAATAGAACTTCGTATAGATTTTATTTGACCTCTTCCGAACCATGAGTGAAGGAAAATGTTCATTAATGCGTTTATTAAGCTGTCTAGTTGTTCGCCCTATATAGCTCTCTCTCTCTCTCTCTCCACAGGAGCAACTAAATTTATAGACATACATAGAAGTGGCACAGCTAGGTAGCTTGTCTTTCACTTGAGCAATCAAAATTGGTCGGTTGGAAAATGACAAACAGAGGGTGGCGGCAGTATAAGTCCGTTTTATGGTTCTCGATAATCTCAGATGTAAGACTTCGTTAGCCACGTTCCCACTAAATTGCAATTTCATGAACAGTTGTTTCTTTTTAACTGTTGTCAGTTTCTCTTTATTGTACCTGGTATTCATGTGTCTCCTTACAAATCTACTGGGATAACCCATTTGGACCAGCATATTTTGGATGTATCCTAACTCATTTTCTAGGGAGTCATCTGTACAGATACATCTTGCTCTATTCGTGAGGCGACATCTGACGAAATTGATTTTATATCAGATGTGTACAAAACTGAGGAAATGTGTATATTGTCCTACAGATGTAGGCTTTCTATAGACATCTCTGTTGAGTGAACCATCCTCTCTTCTGCTCAATTGGACATCAAGGAAATGTAGTCTACCATCGTGTTCTCCTTCTTCACAAGTGAAGATGAGCGATGGATGTGCATCATTAAACGTATTTAACATTTCATTCTTGTCAGCTTTCACATCAAGAATAATAAAGGTATCATCAACATAACGAAAATAAGAATCAGCTTTTTCTATTACTTTTTTCAATGGACCATTTTCAATCTTGGCAAGAAAGAAATCTGCCAAAATTGGCCCCAATGGAGGAGAGCCCATAGCAATACCATCGATTTGCCTGTAGTAAAGGTTGTTGAATGTGAAGTGTACATTCATAGTACATCTTAAAAGCAACTCTTTCAGACTAACAACTGGAATTCCGATGTCGAACTGTTTTTCTAGTATCTATTGGCATATGAATTCCACAGTCTCCATAAGAGTTGTATTGTTCACAGGATTTCATTATGAACTAATGTCGGTTAGGAGACCAAGTTAAACTTTAAGCGCCACTAACTAACTAACTACGGATGGAGTATGACCGCACCACAATGAATGACCTTGAAACGCTCAATGAACTAGTTAGCGAAACCTGGCAAATAATTTTGTTATCATCAATGAAATGTGCTCATCGAAGTGTTATGTTATCTATTAAATGGAATATCTGGCAAGTTACAGCTTAGGTTTGGGAAGGATTAGGTTACGCTTTAAGCCAAGGACAAAGTAGGGTTAGGTTCACCTGATAAAGGCGATTTTAGGGTTGGTTCAAGTTAGATTACAGTTCATTTAGGGATATTTTCACTTTAGAGTTAGCTTTCGGAAAGATTAGTAACATGGAGAGATTGTGGTTAAATTTCTCTGTTGATATAAGAAGAGAACTTGTGCACTGTGGTAGAGTATAATTCTATTGTGCTTAAAATTTATTTTGACAAAGTCTCACAGTGTTATACAATAATATTTACTGATGACCACGTTTCGAGCACCATTTTATTGCTCAGTAAGTATTACTGTATTACACTATAAGACTTTATCAAAATAAATTTTACCCACAACGGAATTATACTCTGTTGATACTCCAACCTAAAACTGAGAACTATTTTTGTCACATTTGAAAGGAACGTATCCTCTATAACACTTTTCTACAGTTTTTATTGAATTTTTTTCATAAATGTATATATTCCATACACAAAAATGTCTCCTTCACGTGATTGGTGCCTTCGAGGTCATTCGCTGATTGGTAGTTACTTAGTGGTGCTTAAAGTTTAACTTTACCCCATTGGGAAACCAGCCACGGTGAATACTGCCAGACAGCTAGGCTGTTTCGTCAGCTTTTAATTTGTGACTCTGCTTCAGCGGTACGCACACATCCACCGTCAGGGTTCGAACATAGGACCTGGTCACAAGGTCAGCTCGTAGACCACTAAACCACTCATTGAAACTTGAACCAATGGCCAGTCCATGAATTTCAAGTTGTGCCAATTCACGATACAGCGCGACTGGCACTAATCAATCACTGAGAATTAAGCAAGAACAACAGTGGCGGTTTGTGCAAAAATAATATGGTACCATCATCATTTATTTCATTGGCTTTTCATCAGCTGCTCACAGCCGAAATAAATTATCAAGTTCATGCACCGAAAAGTTTTAAGATACTTGCAAATTTTACATGATGTCAGTTGACAGGAGGTTCTGAACTTAGTGAACAGTGCTCAGAAAATTACGCTAATATAGTTTTTACACAGAGAGTTCAAGTTTAAACAAGGTAAATGTATGCATACAATGGTTAAGGAGTTAAGTAATAAAGACGGAAAGTGCGTAATGTGATGAGTCCGTAATAAATAAGGGAACAATGTACTGAGTTCAACTCAAACCATAGAAACAAGAGACAGGCGAAATTACACTAAATCCGAAGGGGGTGAGGTTAAAGCCAAAGATTATGTAATTAAACGAAAGAGAGAATAAAGACTTGCAGTTACAAAGTAGGGCAAGGAAAGACTGATGATGTCTGCTTCTTTCAAAGCACTTAAATCGGGTTTCAAGCGTCTGATGCAGATTGCTTCGGCAAACTTGAGGAGAATCGGGCCCTTTTGTCTATTGATAATTTTAAAGGATTTCGTGATTTCCACTTCATGATCCTCCGTATCAGGAGATGCCTGGTCATAGCACGGTTGTAGGCGTTTGTTCCCTTGACATGTAGACTTTTCGGTACATGCTCAGAAAATTGGGGGTTGTGCCCTTCTTCTTTCTGTTCTCCCAATGTAACTTCTCCCACAGATACACATAAATTTTTATACACAGTTGTAGTTAAATTGATGAGAAGGGTATCTGTTGACTTTTGAGAGAGGTATGGTATAAACCAATTACCCAAAAATTATTTGCTTGTTCACAGTGACGGTGGTATTTTCTGCTTAATAAGGCAGATATATACAATGACACGTTCTCCATCTTCTTAGACGCAATATCTCTCCACAGTGCTGGTACCACAGTGAATTGTTGAAATGAGACTCTTTTCAATTTGAGCGGTTGAAGCTCTCACAGCTAAATTTCCTGTTCTTTTCTGTCTAATGTCCTGATAAAAATTAGTTTGCACCAGACACTTCAAGGACCTGACGCATAATATTAGTTACCATTACAATCCAGTGTCCAAGTGTCGAAATATAGTTTATTTGCATACGGAGCTTTGATTGTTCATCGTTAACTTTAGGTATAAAGTGATTTTTCTAAAATTCCCCGTAAATAAAATAATAATAATAATAGTTTATTGAGAAAATCAACAGATATTTATAGATTTTTATGTACATTATTATTCGATATTGTTAGCATAGAATCAACGTCTTCTGATTGGTTGTTTTCTTTCTCAAGGTTATTCTGTCATCATTTTGTTGCCGTTTCTTAAATAATCTGGTAATATATCTGTGAATCGTATCCGCCCATGCTAAGTCTGCTATGATTGGTTGTTGAGTTAGTCTTTGTTCTTGTTTTCTCATGAAGAAGATTTAGGACTTAAACATTGACGTAGATTGCTGTCTACCAGTTTGGCTAGCAGACAGCTCTCATTACACTCGTACTCCTGGTCAAAGAATTTCGACTGAAGTTGGTTCGGTCTTCTTAATTCTGGTGGCTTTGTCCGTTTACCTTGCTGTCTGAAATTCCGTCGCTCGTTGGCATTTACCTGTTTCTCTTTGTTTACTACTGCGATTTTATCTACGTGACCCCGTCCCACAGTGACCACGTGTGGTCATTCCCACTTTGGATGCTATTTGCCTGACCTTCGCGTATATTCGTCGGTGTTTCGCCTCATACTTTCATTTACTGCCTTCTCCCGACCTCCCAGCAGCGTCTCAAGTAACACTTTCATCGCTGACAGAACTTGAACTCCACTCAACTGCTCAACAGACTCGAAGTCCTGCCCTAAGATATATCAAAAGCTGCAGGGCATAGGCTTTCCATTTGTCGATAGGCAGCGACACCAAATGTAACGACAGAAGACAAGGGCCAGGCAACAGATCGTTTATTAAGGAAATCAACAGATATTCATAGATTTTTATGTACATTATTATTCGATATTGTTAGCATAGAATCAACGTCTTCTGATTGGTTGTTTTCTCGCGGAAGGTTATTCTGTCATCTCTTTGTGGCCGTTTCTTAAACAGTCTGGTAATATATCTGTGAATTGCATCCGCCCACGCTAAGTCTACTGTGATTGGTTATTGATTTCCTAAAGCTTAAGCTTTGTTCTGGTTTCCTCTCCTGATCCAATTTTGGCTAGCAGACAGCTCCCACCACAATAGTAATCTTAAGGCATAGAAACGTTAAACAGGGGAATTGTATTGAAGAAAAATGCCAGAGAATTTTTAGGTACTTGTTTTCTTGGCACTCGGGTAAGGGCTTTGTTAGTGTAGTGTAGATGAAAACTGCTGCAGACCACTACCAACAACCATTTCATTTCTAGATGATTGTGGGAAATTGAAAGGCTTCAATCCAGTTTAAACCCAACGCTGAATGTCTGTGGTTCATCGATGGAGCACTTGTCAATCACCCAGTAGTCCGAAAATCGATCCTCCGCCGACGCCGCTATTTTGCCTCGCTAAGCCACACTAGTAAGGCTGGTAAAGAGGGAAGTTAGCGCGTGGATGAGGCTAGTAGCAACCTCACCCGGTGAAAATAAAACCCACTTCAAGCTTTTTGAACCCTATGTTCCATTGGGGGAACGTTTCTGAGAGTCACATATGTGTATCCTTATTGATAAGACTTCTTTTTATTGTCATTATCGTTGTTATTGTTGTTTTTGTTCTTGTTGCTATTTATTTATACAACAGGGATATTGCCGCGGCTATTTCTCGATATGAACAATATCAATTCGACAGAATTCATTATGTGGTAAGATTTCTTCAGATTTATCTACATATACATTTGTGTATTTTTGTGATATATTAAATATTCCCATAGTAAAATTTAGAACAACACATTTAAGCAAACAATATTGTTGTTTTCAATTAGATCTCATCAGGCTTATCTCTAATATATATATATATATATATATATATATATATATATATATATAAATTTACAAATAAAATTCAAATATAAACCAATCATGGTGTTTTGTCTATAAGATAATAAGATGGTGAATATAAATTGTGCAATTAGTCACAATAGTAGTGTGGTGAGAGCAGGCCGTGAGAAAGTATGAGCAAGGCTGATTCAACAACCAATCATAGCAGACTTAACGTGGCAAAATATGATTCGCAGATAGAGAACTCTATTTGTCAAGGAATCCCGAAACAACCAACCAGAAGCCTGCGTTTGTCTGCCTAACTTCTGATAAACAACCAATCAGATGACTGCGCTTGTCTACTTGCATAAGCTGTAATAATGTCTGTGAAATATGTATAAATACGTGTTGATTTTCATAATAAAACGATCTGTTGCCTGGCCCTTGTCTTCTGTTGTTACAGTAGTAATGATATTACTAATAATTAGTTTTATCAATAATAAGAATGAAAAATTGAGGCAATCTGTAATAACACGAATACTGATTTCAAATTGATGAAAGTGTCTCTTGCCATTCCAATCCAGTGTGTGCGTCGGTGGCACAGTGGTTAGAACTCTCGCCGACCATGCACATGGTCCGGAGTTCAATCACCTGCCAACGCACACCGGTTATCTATGGTTGGCCTGCAAAATTTGGGCTACCAAATATCATTTGCTGAATATTCCATACTTGTACCAAAAATACGGTGTGGCATCAAGCTGCAATCAAAATAAAAATAAAATAAATAAATAAAGTGTGGCTTTGACGTCTTTATCCGTTCCACCTGTAGTTGAAACATTTCCTTCCTAGATAAGTGGAGGAAGTACACCTATGTCGAATCTCTCCTCTTGATGGTGACTGGTGGTGTTTGTTGTTGTTGCTGTTGGTCGGTCGATTGGTTGTCTTCATCACCTCCATCTTCTCTAACGTCCACTTGGAATCCTGTCATCGCTGCCTCCTTCTTCAGTCAGTTTGTAGGTTTTCGCCTGCCTGTAAGTCTTCAAGTTTGTGTGACACAAATATTAGAAGATGTGACGCAATCTACGAATGTTTGGCATGCGATTCGCTCCCGCCAAATGCAAGATGATGTTACAGGACTGGAATACATCGACGCCTAGTTTAAAAATAGGAAGTGAAGTGGTAGAGAACGTTGACCGCTTCACTTACTTAGGAAGTACCATCAGCTCCAACCGGTTGAACTCAGACGAAATCTCAGCACGAATACAAGGGGCTCGTTTCGCATTTGTTAGTTTAAGCCGACTCTGGCGTAGACGAGATGTTCGACTATCGACCAAAGGGCGGGTGTACTGCTCATCAGTCCGCTCCGTCCTCCTTTATGGCCAGCTGTGAGACCTGGCCACTGAGAGTGGAAGACATGAAAAGACTAGCTGTCTTTGATCATAGGTGCCTGCGCTCTATTTCCCGTGTAAAGTGGCATACTAAGGTGAGCAATATTGAGGTTAGGCGTCGAGTTCTAGGCAAACAGGGGAAATCAATCGACGAAGTTGTGAAGTTACAAAGACTGAGGTGGTTACGACATGTGTTACGTATGCCTAGTCATCGCCTTCCTCGAGTGACGAACAATGTTAGCGGATATAGGGTCAAGCTGGAAAAACGCTAGCGGAGGTCAAATAAAAACTTGGCCTCACCAGTCAATGAAATCCACAACAGTTGGTCTAAGCCACGTAGAAAGGTGTAGACTTCCAGGCTGGGGTCCTCGGGACGGTAAAAATCTATGGTTGGAAGCAAATGGTGACATGGCTCAAAGTGATCGTTCTCAGTGGCGCTGGCGCAGATGCATCCACTCCTTGTGACTTATGATCTCCAATGAAACTGTTTTGTTTTTCTTTATTACTCCTTTGTCTCACACCTCTGCTCAATGTTTCTATTATGCTTTTCTTGTACTTTCTTCTCTTGCTTCGCGCGCTACACGGAATGTGGCGACTTGAACTTCCGCACATTTGTGTAGAGTTCTATGTCGAAAACAGACAGACAGACAGATTAGAAGATGCACATGGATGGTTGGTTTATGCAAAATGTGACTTTCAGTGCCATTGTATTGGTGTGAGTTAGGATCCTGTGCGACGTATTTCAAATTATACGGCTGAATATTGTTGTAGTGTATACTACTTACGGAAGAAACATAAGTAGTATATCGAATGAATAATATAACCTGTTATTTTACATCTTTTTTTATTCTATAGGTAGAAATTGGACAACGTTTACACTTTCAACAATTACAATATGTCCTCATTCAAATGGGTTATAAGTGGCCAGCTTTGTAAGTTTTACTAATTTTTTTACTACTTATTATTTTAATAAGTAGACTATATATATTTGTAGAAAGAAAATGTATGCTAGGTACATGTGGTTTTTGATTTCTCCTACACATCAGACCATTTTATTATTCTGAGTACAGTTTCTCTTGGATTTTTATAATTGCTCACTTCTTACATAGGTGGGGACCAGTCAGTTAGTTAGTCATCTAAAACTCAGTCACTCGGAACAGATTTTACATGTGCTCGTGTGTGTAGGTTACGCGGAATTTTGAGGCTATGGCCAACTGTCTGAAAGACGAAGCACTTTAGCCTGTGAACTATATTCCCACTACTAACTGAGCCCAACTATAAAGAACTACCGACTGATACTGGTGAACATTGTTTTTGTCCAATTCTTTTGGAACTCTCCGACAGCATTCAACTTTGATCCCACTCCACTGGGTATGGAGTCCACCACCTTGAGATGATTAAGAGGCCATCCACGCACCTGTTGGGACGCAATACAATCACTCATGAATTCTGATTTCTACCAGCTTCCCTGGTAACCTTAAGGTCCTGGGTCCGAACCCTGTCAATGGGTAGGTGCGTACATCTGAAGCAGAGTCCCAAACTAGTCTGACGAAACAGCTAGCTAGCTGTCTAGAAGTACTCCTTGTCGCTGGTTTTCCAATCGTTCTTTAACTGATATCAGTTCACGATAAAATCCTGAAACCAATTGTAATTTATGCCAGTTTGCAATACAGATATATTTCACTGGCGTCAATTGTCATCCTAGGTGATGATCTTCCTTAGCGTGTGTGCCCGACCCATCTTCAAGTTTCGATGTAGTTGGGGATGTAACTGCTTCACTATCAACAATGTTTTATGTCCGTTTGATCGTAAGCATAAAAATGCGCAAACCAGGACGTGATCAGAGCCTACGCACGTGTTCCAGAAGCAGCGGCAGTCTTCTACTGACCCTCACTAAGGATACCTTATCGCTATGTGGCCTATCTGAGTCTTAGCGTTGATTTGGTGATGGATGTCGCCAGGTTACGCAGTGTCTCTCTTTGTGCCTAAAGTTAGTGCTGAGTAGGAACAGATGATTATCTGAACAGAACTGTAGAAGGTGATCACCGTTGTTGGTTCGTCGACAGGAGTCTCCATACGTGTACCACCCACAAACTTCTCAGTCTGGCTCAACTTCCCCACTTTGGCATTGAAGTCGCCTGCTAAAACAATTATACCTGAGTGTTTTGCTTTTTGCAGCAAATTACACAGTTTCAGATGGAAGTCATCCTTTAGTTCATCCGAACTGCGGTCTGTTGGGGGTGTAAGAGGAGACTACGCTATCCTTCCTTCTTTTAACAGACCCGTTCAAACGGACCGCACACATACGACTATCTACTGGGATCCAGTGAAGAAGTGACTTTTCCGCCCTAACACTCAGTGCTATCCCTACACCTGCGAGTCCTCGCGAACCAGCTGAGGGGTATCCTGACACCCTCAAAGTGAATTTCGTAGAATCACCTTGTTGACCGGGTGAGGTTAAATGAAAGACCACACTTACGTCTTGTATGCCTGTCTCCAAAACACAACATACATCCATGGTTTGAGATGCCAGAGTTCTTGCTAGTGATGGTTGTTGTCCGATTTGGCAGAGGGCCCTGGCGTTAAATGATCCTATATGAAGTTGGCGATGTGGCTTTAAAAGGCTATCTGGGGTGTTTCTATGGCTCTCACCGTTGTTTGTGGTCACAGAGTGAAGTGAAGATGACTCACTAGCCTGCAGAATAGTACTAACTGTACGAGAGAAGCAAGATGACGAAGGTGATGTGAATCAAAGAGAATGATACTCAGGAAGGCTCCGTGTGCTTTTGGAAGTGAACGGGCGGTTATTAATTCCTGGCTGCCCACACTGTGGAAGTTGATTGATTTTTCGGCTACCTGAAACAGAGAGATGGTTAGTATTGTGTGATCGTTCTCAGTGGCGCAGATGCATCCACTCCTTGTGACTTATGATCTCCAATGAAACTGTTTTGTTTTTCTTTATTACTCCTTTGTCTCACACATCTGCTCACTGTTTCTATTATGCTTTTCTTGTACTTTCTTCTCTTGCTTCGCGTGCTACACGGAGTGTGGGGACTTGAACTTCCGCACATCTGTGTAAAGTTCTATGTCGAAAACAGACAGACAGACAGATTGTGTGACCGCAAAGCCTAGGGGACAACTGCTTGAGACCGGTCACACACTCCCTGTATGAACTAGTTTCTTGGTTTGGTTCCGTATTAGTAAACTCATCGCCGGTAACAGACCATCATAGGGTAAATCGGGATGTACAATTGTTAGGGTCAACCTTTTCTAACCCTTTCTCTCCAGAGTGGAGAGACAGCAGAGCTAGTTGGCATGCTGGTCATCTGAAGGAAACACCTTACACTGCTGTCACATCCCTGATCCCTAGCAGTACGACTTCGCCCACAGACCGCCAACCGAGTGTAAAAAAATTCTTACACTATGCTGATAACTGCTTTCAGTTTAATCGTTATCTTAACAACCTTCCTAGCGTGGTCAGACCTGCAGGAACATTAGTTCCAGCCAGTGTAGCTTGTTGTGTTATTGCGATGTGCAAGCCCGACCACTACGTCAAGGTAGCAGCTATCTGTCGGGATCCGTTAACATTAAAGGGTGTGCTAGTCTAAGAAGACTTTAGTTGTTGGAGTGTATTTTCTCTCTAAATATATATACATATATAGTCTAGAAATCGTAGGGTCACCGAAGTCTGATTCCTCCTGCTTGTGAAGTAAACTAAATGCTGCGGGATAGATTGTAAGCAGAGTTTCTCCAAGAATGAATTGTGTAGATTTCGTCTTAGCACAATGAAAGAAAGTATCATCAACGTGTATCTCAGCCATATTTCAGGTGTGATGAGTATGTTTGGAAAGATGTTATCTTCAAATGTATTCATGAAAAGATCAGCTACTATTTAGGAAAGTGGTGAACCAACTAGATAAAATCTCAAGAAAAACAACTACCCAAAGAATTTTTTGTTGTTGACAAAATCGACACTGACATCAAACATGGTTGAATATAACATAGAGAAATCAAAGTAATCAGAAGAAATGAACGCCGTAAAGCCACCTCTTTTCGACCACCAAGAAATCCAGTTAGTGAACTAGAAAAGCTTGAAAAGTCATCTACACGCTATAGAATAAGGTCACAAAATTGATTTTGACGATATTGAAATATTGGAAATTAGGGAGTCCTGGACAGCTGACTGTTTCATCCCAGTTTGGGGATCATTGGCCGTACGCACCCACTCTACAGGGGGTTCGAACCCAGGACCTACCGGTTACAAGGCGAGCGATCTTGTATAGAATTCAGCCACTTGGATTCGATTCAATGGCCCATAAATTCTAACCTCTACCATTTCATTCTTCAAGTGATATCAATCTGTGATCAACTTGTAAAAACAAATCTGATCCTTACAAACCTACTATTGAAAATATTGAAATAATCCAGAAATAGCATTTCAGAAATCACAAAGAACGTCTAATATCATCAGAAGCACTTCATATCAAATGGATTCCAAATTGTCTGAATAGGAATAATGGACTAACTTGGAATTTTGCCTGGTTGCATCACCACCCACCTATGCCTTATGAAATGACAAAATCGACAAAAATATGATAAGCAGTTTCATTACGTTGTAATTACATTCTGCCTTTATAATTTGACACACTTATCAAATCCAACAATCTACACACATGGTGGCTTTTTTATCGTCACCGATTGGCCAATTTGACAAAGACATTAAACATCACCCGATGTTGATAAACGATGATTAATTTGTTACATATATATATATATATATATATATATATGTAAGCTGAATGGATTTTGTAAATTCTTCCGCTTTAATATTACTACTTATGCAACAACAAAAGACAAGGACCAGGAAACAGATCGTTTATTAAGGAAATCAACACATATTTATAGATTTTCATGTACATTATTATAGATTATTGTTAGCAGAAAAACACAGTCTTCTGATACATGGTTGTTCCTCACAGAAAGTTAACCTTGTATCTCTTTGTGAGTGTTTCTTGATTGCCAGATCATCCACATGTTAACTGTATCCGCCTACGTAAACCCTTCTCATTTTTCTCACAACCAATATTTGGGACATAAACATCTACCAATTTTGACTAGCAGCCAGCTCTCACCACACTTTGATAAAGCTATTAGTGGCGGCATTTAACAGCGAAACGTCGGTAAAAACAACAACAGAGTATCGTTTTGTTTTTCATTCATTCATTAGGGAATACAACAATGCTTTATAATAATGAATATCATATATCCAATGCCCAAAGTTTTCAAACTGTTGAAATTGAACTTAGTTTGTATATATATATACGTCTTTTTCATTTCTCGATTATAGAGCAATGAAATGGGATCATGATGCTGATAATGATGATGAGGAGAATGAAAGTACTCAAGACGTGAGTAGTCCCCGATCTGCACATCACTTGCATATACCATTTGGTCGTGTCATGGGTATGAGTACAAGAAAAGGTGAAGGTTTATTTCTGTCGAATATATTAGACAATGCTCAACAATTTATGCTGAATAGAATGAAATCTTCAAGAAGTAAGCTGGACTTGTAGTGTTTGTTTGTGTTCTGTTCTGTTCTGTCCTATTTCGTTTTCTTCTCTTCAAGGAGAGACTAAGCTGGATTTCATCATCACGAATTGAAAGCAATCAAAGAACTCCATTGAAATCAGAGAGTATTAGACGAGATGTTTTGTTCTAGTTGACCACTTCACTTATTTGAAGGGGGAAGTTGCATCAGCCAACCTCAGACGGTTAATTGCTGATGAAATCATAACACGTTTGACGTTCGCCTGCCAACTCACACCATCTCTGGTTTAGTAGACATGATTATCCAGCTGGCTGTCCACCAAAGGACGCGCATACTTCTCAGCAGCAGTCCTCTCCGTCCTCCTTGATGGCTGGTTGTGAGTGGGATATGGCCAATGAAAGTGGAAAACATGAAAAGGCTAGCTAGCTAGCTGTCGTTGATCACAGGTGTCTGTGTTCTATCTCTTATAATATGTATTAGGTGGTAGGTGTAATAGTGTGAGTATTATCCAGTATATAATTGGTGGATGGTGGCTAGCAGTAGAATCCAGGATGCGCATTTCATCCTATTCGGGACTCGTCAGCTGGATGTACCTGCATTTCTCAGTGAGTGATGATGTTCCCACTGAGGCTCGAACCCAGTGCCCATAGTTTCAAACGCCAAAGGGTTATCCACTAGACCACTTGGGCCACGAGAGCCACCTCTTGTGCAACGGGTCATTAATTATTGAATTGATTTTTTGATTTTCCCGTCGATTGATTAGACCGAAGTGCTAGGGCACTGGGTTCGAGCCTCAGTGGGAACATCATCACTCACTGATAAACGCAGGTACATCCAGCTGACGAGTCCCAAATAGGACGAAATGCGCATCCTGGATTCCACTGCTAGCCACTATCCACCAATTGTATACTAATTAAATTCCCAGACATTGTCGAGGCATCTGCACAAGAAGCCGACATGTCAACCTGACACCGAGCACTTCCGTCCAATCAATCGACGGGAAAATCTAAAATTCAATTCAATAATGAGTATTATTCAGTTAGTAATTTAATAATTTCCATTGTAGCATTAAGAACACAATTTTCTTCAGCGAAGAGACTCTTCTCAACAACGAATTTACTATCAAGCTGTGGTTTTTCTTTAAGAAATTATATCCGGTGAGGGAATTACGTCTGAACTGATCGATGCACATGGGGGCGGCCAGACCGGGGAGCTTATCTTTTACAGAGGTAGAGAACAATTTGTGGCTCGTGAACGTCATATGTAATTTTGCTGCAAAGAACGTCTTCCTCACTGATTTTTGAGCATATCTGAAGCTTGATCACCTTGGAATTCCGAGTTCATGAATAAGGTTTTCTTTGGAACTGAGTCGGTGACCAGTTTAGACTGCTTATGTTGCGCTGTCATGTTGCTGTCAATAAATCGGTTAGGGTAACCATTTTCTGCGAGTGTGGCTTTTTTTAAGAAGTCAAGTTCAGAACTACAAATTTTCCTCATCCTAAAGCAGAGTGAATTAAGAATTAAGTTCCTTTTCCTGGATAATTATTATTGAGTTGGTGAGGCGTCATCGGTCGAGTGATAGATAAGGAGGAGGGTTGTGAAGCAGCTGCCTTGATTTAGATGATTAAGACATGTGTTACGCATATATTGTGCCTAACCATCGCCTCCGTCGACAACAGACAAAGTTAGCTGTCTGACATAGGATGGATAAGGTTGGAAATTAGTTGGACACTGGTGGTCAAGGGAAAAAAACGTCTTCATCAGTTAGTGATATCCATAACTGTTAGTTTAAGCCAGTCAGTCTGATGTACGGAGGTGTAGGCTGCTGTCCGGTTGGGGTCCTGTGTATGGTAAGAACTAACTACAGCTAGAGATAGTTGCTGATATCAAAGGAAGGGAATCCGTGTACATTTGACTAAATCATTGAACTTGTTGCTTGATGCACAGGAATCAAGTTGACCAAGAATTGCTTAATCCGATTGTATCTGACTTAATTAGATATCATATTCTATTTATTACGTAACTGCTTTACGTTCCCCCAGTGGAAAATAGGGCTTCAAGCTAGAGAGTTAGAAGTTTCGGTAGCAATAGTCTTTATTTTTATCGGAAGGGGTTGCTAGCCGTATGCTCAACCTTCCCACTTTACCAGTCTTATTACTTGCTTAGTGAGGTAAAGGAGTGCGTTGATGGCCCGGAGTCGAACTCCGAACCACCTGCGTAGTTGGTGAGCCATTTTACCATTCTATGATTATCATAACAAAACTTGTCTCCCCACTTGTAAACTGGGATAGTGAATGACTTACACCATTCCAACCCTTACTGTGTCTAATTCACACACACACACACACACATTGGCCCTAGTACTTTAGTTTAACCAGGCAGACAACAATCTATCATTTCTGTCTTTAAATACCTCTGGAGTCATTCCATCACATCCTACTGCTGCTTTGCCTAGTTTCAGTTTACAGACACCTGTTACCGTAGTTATAGGTGGAGGATCTCGACATCCTCATCCTATGCAGTTGGATGTTGGATACTGGGCAAGTTACGTGTGTGGCTGTGTAAGCCAGTTAAACTGCTCCCCAAACTTATCGTTCGAAAATTCAAGTCGCCTATCCTGAGATGTGATTAGGGCGCTATTTTTTGCTCGGAGATTGTCTCGCTTATTCATATGCCTTTAACCCCTTGTTTCCTTGATAAGCCTAAATAGAGTTGTCTGGTGTTACCTATCGCTGACTCCCTTTCCATCTCTTTCGCTTTTTTTGTGGCCACCCACTAACATTCTTCACCGTCGTTACGAAGACTTTTTGTTCCATTTGCGTCTTAGTAGCTTTCAATCTTCATCGTATTCGGAGTCCGCTGGAATCAGTCTTCTTGCGTCTGTAAGTTCGGGTGTAGTAGAAGATGTCCGTTGGTTTTTACTTATTTCTCTATTAAGTGTATATTCTGCTAGGCTTCCTCAGGAGGAGGAGGAGAAAGAGGAGTAGTAGTCTTGCTGTCGATCTCAGATACGCGCTTAACTATTTGTTCTTTAAATAGGGGCTCAGTGACGTGATCAAGTTTTGCGTCATGATGGCTTCATTGTTGTCTGTTTTCTTTTTTTGTATGTCTGTTCAATCTTAAGCATTAGAGAGGGCATGGAGATGACTAATTTCGATAAGTCATGCATCTCTATCTAATATCATCAAATCAGTGTGCACCTTGATGGCGAGCTACCTAGAATGGTGGCCACATTACAAAGCTGATTGATAGAATTCAGTCTGCACCAAAGAGAGGATTAGACATATCACACTAGTTACTAGTGTCAAATCAAAATATCCACTACAGTCCTACGAGAGGTCAATCGCAAGCCAGAATAGCTCAGTAATAACGTCTCTGACTACGGCCCCACTGGGTGAAGCAGGTTCGAATCTCAGAAGGGATTTGAGTTCCTCCAAGTTTGCAGATACGCCTTACTGACTGGTTAGTGCCAACTAGCACGAAACCTAGGTCCAAGGCTTTCTGCCCATTCCCCTCAACTATCTAATATCATCAAGTTATGCATACTTTTGTAACTGTAGAAGACGATAGACTTGTTAATGGATCCATGATTGCCTATAGGCTTTCATATCATCCTTAGATCATGCTGAAATCGTCGTCCCCCATCTGGATTTCACTGGTTATGTGTCAATCTACAGTTTCCTCAGTCCAATGTCCGATCCGTTGTCATTTCCTTCGGCATACTTTTTTCTAGGATACAGGTTTTTTCCCGCCAAAGGTATGCTGGAGGTATGTAGATGACACACATTCACTGTACTTTTAGAACACACATTATAGATACATTTTTCTTGAACACATTAACTTATATGTGGAGGCGATTCAATTCACTTATGAACTAGAAAGTCAATCAAAAAAGCGGAGCTTCCAATGTTAGATTGTATGTAGCGTAAGAAGGAAGGAAGATGCGAAGTTAGACACAAACTAGTGTGTTTACAGGAAACCCACATGCACATTCAAACAGATATTTCGACCTCCAATCATCCTATCCTATGTCAGTGAAAATAGGATTGGTGAAATGTTTAAGTGACAGAGCACAAAAATACTAAGTAGTACCAAGGGGAATCTAAGACAGGAAATGAGGCATATAAGAGAAGCCTTGAAACTTAATAATTACCGTGATAAATTAATCAGGAAATATGAAAGGAAATGTGAAAATAAAATAAATAATAAGATTAGTGATAGTGATAATAATAATAGTAATATTAATGACGACATGCATGTGAAACATGTGGAGAATAATGACAACACCAACAATAAGGAATCTTAATCATCAGTAGTAATTCCATACAAGAAAAGAACCTGGGGAACCTTACTCAGAATTCTTGACAAGGCAGGCAGGAATAAAAGTGGTCGGCATTGAAACCTACTAACTAAATTATGAATAAGCTTTGTCGGTTAAAGGATCTATCCTGTTTAGCCAGTTGAACAAAACAATTTAGTTAGTCTAATACCCTGCTGGAATGATTGTCAGTGAGGTCAAATACATAGGTCAAAGTAGTAGAACAGGTGCAGTCAGACTAGCGGAGCATAAAAATCCAGCAAAATCTAGGTTAGTTGACCCGAATAAGATAAGGAATCTAGAGAATAGTTCAGGTATAGCAATACACCACATGCAGTTACACACAACCATACAATAGGCTGGATGGGATAAGATGAAAGGCAGTTTTAAAATCTAATGTAACAGTAGGGTGGAGGGAGAGATTGATAACAGAAGCTTTGTTTATCGAATCAACTGCAAATACGTGTTTGCAATAGGAATGATTCAACACCTGTCCAGACGGATATCTGCAAACGTCTACTACCTCAACGACAACAAATAGGAGAGAACAAACTATGAAACTTAAGTTTCAAAGTCGTTTGATTATAATTGATGATATAATTATGAACAATAAATTTTGTTCGAAACTTTGTCATCCAGTGAATAATACTGTTTCATTGTGTGTGCGCGATATATCTAATAAACAAACTAATATAGAATTACTTACTACCAGAGTGCCCAAGCTTTTCCAACCCATTGCACCTAGTGCTATACCCTCAGGGACGTTACCACTGAGCTATTCAGGCGCAGTCTGCACCAAATAAAGGACTAGACACATTTCCCTAGTTACTAGTGTCCAATCAAACTATCACTCCTCTCTTTATGATATTTTCGTGTGCTGATCGATGAACGTCTCTCATTCTATCTAGTGATCTTTCCTGGTCGTCTCATATCGTGATGATTTCTAAGAAAATATTCCGTCTTACCTTCTACATCAAGAAGTTAAGATATTCTGGAATAACCCAACCCTTACTCCTACGATTCGTTAACTCCTGCATCCTGCCTATTATACTCTATTGTTCCCCCCTAGTTTTTTCCTGGGCTACTTAAGAAAGACTATACCTTATTACGTAGAGTGTTAAAGGTTGTCAGCAGGGTAAGCAACGTGCCACTTAACCAGCTTGTTAATATTCTGGTCGACAGGCACTTGGACTCACGTGAAAAATGGGCTAAATCCATTCTATCTATCTAACTCACACCACCCTCTTTATTCACAACTCTTTCCTTGTATCTCATCAGGCAGTACCAGAAGACTATATAGAAATTTATATGCTCACACTAGCAAGTACAAAAACTCAACCATACCCTAATTAACTCGTGTTTTGTGCGATAAAGAAAGCATTAGGCGTGATACCTACGTAACAACAGAAGACAAGGGCTGGCAACAGATCGTTTTCTTGAGGAAATCACCACGTATTTATATATATTTTCTGTACATTATTATAGCTTATTCAAGTAGACAAACGCAGTCTTCTGATTGGTTGTTTCGGGTAACTATCGAAAAGTGGAGCTATCTACCTGCGAATCATATTTGCCCCGTGTTAAGTTTGCTGTGATTGGTTGTTGAATCAGCCTTGCTCATATTCTCTCACGGCCAATATTAGTGACCTAGACATTGACGTAGATTAATGTCTACCAATCGGCTAGCAGCCTGCTCTCACCACACCTATAACTTATTAAATAGTCAGTAGAACAACTGGATCTCGTCTTTCCAAGCTCATATCATTTATAGGTACAAACGTATTTCTTCCTTTCTTTTCATTTTCTCTCTCTTTTTTTCTCTGTTATGTGCTGTTTTGTTTCTTTCTTCCTTACAAACTCTATTTAAAGCATTCTTCTTCGTTCTCTCACACTCTGTATATCTCGACGTCCTTGTTACCGCTTACGCCAGTAAAAAATATGCTAGCATCTACTTTTCTAACACCTTCAAACATTCTGTTCACTTTTGGCTTTCCTACCGATATGCCAATATGTTGTTGTCATAATGAACTGAGATTACCCTTAATCTATGTAGAATTTTATTTATTGTCAATGTACGAACTGGATGCAATACTTAAGTAAAATGGTGGGAATTCCATTCTGTATCACAAGTACTGTTTTGGAATAAAGTAAATTATTATTATTATCATATACTACTAGTACTGATAAATCTTATCAGTAGTACCTTGACGATTATTATTATTATTATTTGACTATAATTTTGTAGACACACGAATCAATCAAAATGAATCAACAACGGATCCATCGTTTCTAAGTCAAGAAGACATAGCTGATCACTTGGGTGTTACATGCTTAGCCACGATGATGTTTAACACATTACGTCAAAAACCCATGAAATTGAACACATTTCTTGGATTACCAGTAACAAATAGTCAATTATCATCGACAGTCAATAATCATTCACAAGCTGCTGGTGAGCTATGCGGATTAAGCTTACAATATTGTCATGCAAGATTGTGCAGGTGAAATTCAGTTCTTAATGTCTTTTGTTAACCACTTTTGTGGATTATAAACTACGTATTGTGATATATACATACATATGTTCATGGATAATCCCCATCCAGGCATTAATGAAAACAAAACACGTAGATCAGCGTAGAGACTCTTTTCGGCGGCGACGAATTCATTTTCTTAGCTCTACAATAACAAATACATATATGTGTTATTTTGTATATATTTGTACATTAAGTTTCTCAAACAAAATTAGACAATTGGTTATGGTTATTTTAACTAAACAGGTGAAGATTGATATTACAAGTCAAGAAAATTAGGTGTTAATGAAATTAGGGTAGTAACAAAGGTGATGAGTTGTCACAAACAGTTGTTAAAAGAAGTTATGTAATAATAATATGAATAGTTTGATGAGTGAGTTTTACTCAGGATGCACATAGAAACAAAGTAGATAATACGAAATTACGTAAGGGTTCTAAATGAATACAAGAATTATAAGCAATTAAAGAACAGGCAAAGAAATAAAATTTAGTCATCAAAATCAAAAAAATCAAATCAGATCAAAACAGAAAAGTTGTTACCATGACAGTAGAAGTGGTTGAGTAATCTTCTTTTGTATGCACAGCTCCGGTTTTTCTATGTGAATCGCCAGAGCTTCAGCGATACAAAGAAGACGAAACCTTATTGCTTTTGATAGGTTATTCTTGGCTCTGTAGATTACTTTGAAGCAGGAGGCGTTCGTTGAAATGGATTAATCAGTGTTAACCAGGTGTTCGATTACCACACTCCTTATTGCACCACTATTGCCTTTTCGCAACCATACTGGTTGGATAGTGTTCTTGAATCCTCCTGGACAGGGTGCGCGTAGAACGACCGAGGTACCTGGCTCCACAGCAGCAGGTGAACTGATATATTCACATAGAAGTGGTAAGATGCAGGATCTTGCCCTTGAGGCTTCTGCAGATCAGTGGGCGACTTGAGAACACTATTCTTAGTGTTGCTGCAAACAATATTCTTCTCAGAGATGATGTAATCTTTCTCTTGAGAATATCGGTTGCTAAATCTCCCTTGAAATCCGAGTTCACGAACATTAAACAACCCGTTAGCCAATCATATCAAGTGTTGATTGGTTTGCAGAGATTCGATTGATCCTGGTTGCAGGTTGATTGATGGATCATCACTGGCTGACATTGGTCAGAAACTAGGGAGTACTGGATAAGACGTTTCGTCCCACTTTGGGACTCTTTAGTGTAGCTCCTACTCACCGTGACCGACAGAGTCCACCACCAAGTCAGGTGGGAGTGTGTGGCGTGTGCTACTGACAAGATTTATCACTAGTAGTATTATAAATAAAGAGAAGTCTATCGATCGGCTTACAAAAATATGAAATATAGGAGAGATTGATTTGAAGTTAAAGAGAAGAGGAAATGAATCAACCAGTATTGCGGCAAAACCTGGGAGACATGAAAAGGAGATAAGGAAACACATTATGAAAGGGGGCACAAGTAGCAGGCACAACATGAAAGATCTGTGGAAATGATGATTTGGAGATAAGGCGTACATAAAATTTGCCTATATATGGAGATATCAAATTCCAGATAGACATTTTGTTACCAACCACTTTTATCTTCTACACCTATAAGAAGACAGTTATTCCCCCTACAACACTGACTGGTGGTTGCAACATAATTCGCTAATAAACTTGGAAGTTTAGAATTCATAGTCTGGCCATTGGGTCAGGTTACATAGGCTGAATGGTCTACGAGTTCGCCCTGTCCTATGTGCAAACCGCATTGAGCGTATTGCTTAAGAGTCGCCGAAACAGGGAGAAAAAAAACTGTCCAGTACTCCCTGGTGATCCTTTTTTCTCTGGTTCTGTAACTCATGTCAACTTGTGATCAACTCTGTGAAAAGCAGGGAAATCAGAAGACCACCAGGTTTACGATGATACTTGTATTTTCTAGACAAGGAAAATAAATGTCACACAAGTGTGTGAGTGAAATTGTACGAATGTACGAAACGTGAGAACAGCAAGAATGGACAAGAATGATAAAACAAGAGTACATATGAAAATGGCTAATACACATGAACTAATAAGATAACGCCTTACCATGATTGGTTGTAATGTCATGTGATAATAAGGTCATACATTGTTTATTTAGTTAGTGGACAGACAAAAGCATATTGTCAGTTGTAATGAAATGTCGATCCATATACACATAGCAAAATATAATAGACTGTCAACAGCAAAACACACATCATGTGGATACATATCACATACACGCACTAGAAAACGGAGCGAAAACAAGAACAACTGTAACAACAACAACAACCTTTATTAGATAAAATCAGTTTTTGAAAAAATCCTCAGAAATCGAAGCCATTAATAAACAGGTTTATCTGATTGGTTGTCTAACATCGAAAAATCCATCAGAAAATTAAGCCATAAAGGAACGAATCAGAAACTGGCCAATAAATAAGATTATCATTTCAATACACATGCATAGATCATGACTTCACCACCACTAACAAAGAAGCTTGTCTGTCCTAACCCACTGTACCGTTGTCACTCACACACACACACAAACACATTTCTCAACTAGTTAATCATTTTTTCATCTCACCTCAGTCAGGCAGACAGTCAGTTTTTTTTACTTTATATTGTTTATTCTACAGCCTTGAATCTCGTATGATATCCTCTGGTTTATTATTCCCGCCAACAAGCGTTTGTACAGGCGATCACGGATCCCTTGTATTTGATGAACATAGTCTGATCCACTATTATGATCAACTGAAAGAATGGCCTTCAACGACAACCAATGATGAATGTTTTATAGCATTACTTTATGAATTATCCAGGTGAGTAGTCCTCTCTCTCTCTCTGTTTCCCTCTTTCGCTTTGTTCATGCTTCTTTGATCGAGTTACGTCATACGATTTTGCGAGTTGGTCGTCAGCGTGAGGGTGACTTGGAGGAGGTCATGTGAAGAGGAGATGAAAGCATGTGGACAGACGTGGAGCGAGGTGAAAAAGTTGGGAGAAAACAGAAGGCAATGGTGATGCGCAGCTGAAGCCATATATTCCTCTAGGAATTAAAGGATATAATAATAATAATAATATGTCTTGTTCTAATATTATAATTGGGAATATTTAAAGAATTTAAAAAAAGGCGATCATTGTCTCAGATTCACGCGCACCCACCTACCTACCTGGTCAAGTATAAAGTTGACTTGTCACTTTTCACCAAGACAATATTCTGTCTTGAAAAATTTACATCAGCAACATTTTCTGTTGACATGCATATCAATCCATCACTAAAAGAGACAAAATCGAAAAAAAGTGAACTTTAATTTTTTTAAAAATAATAATCATAAAGAGTGGGAAATTTGTTCAGATACCAATGAAAGTGTATAATTATTATTGTTCCCTTGGGTTCTTAGTGGAACATACCGCTTCAACTGCACGTCTTCACTTGCTTCTGTCTTCCTTCTGCTGTACTTTTCACCTGCATCCATGTTCACCATCCATACTGTTTCAACTCCTCTTCACACCATCTCCTCCATGTCACCCACCTTTGCACTGACGACCCACTCGCCGCTTCCCTTTCGGCCTGATTCCACTCGAGAAATGACCTGACATGCGCGCGATGTCACCCAGCGGTGGTCTCCTCCCCGGCGAGTGTCCAATGTGTCATCTCCACTTTCTCCTGCATATTTGTGTTGGGCGATCGATTGGTCCTTGTTTTGTTCGTTTGTTCCCATAGTTTCTTGTTGGAGATTCTTTCCAGCCTGGCCCGGCCCTGTCATCTGATCTTCAGTATAGAGCCAGCGAAGACAGTTGTTGTTGTTGTTGATAAAGGTCTGAGTTAGCCTGTTGGTTGGAAATATTCTTTGTGACCCGCCCGCCCGCCAAGTTTCTGATCCGTTCCGTATAGAAGAACTGACTGACTTGACGTTTGTTTGTACTGAAAATCCGACGGAATTTTGCTGTTGATGCTGGCTGAGTGACGATTTTTGCAGATTGGTTTCAGGTTGATGAATGTTTTTCTCGCCTTCCCGATTCTCGCTCGATTTGACATCCTCATCGGTTCCGACTGCTTGTAGTTGAGACAATGCTCAATGCTAGATAAGTGAGTGAATGAAGTAGCCTCTTTCAAATCCCTCCCTTTGATGGTGATTGGTTTTCCTTGGTAATCCTTGATAATCATAGTAACTGTCAAATAGCGTGGACAGCTGCTGATCGATTAATTGCTTTTAGCACTTTTTTCGACTTCTTCAGAGTTATTCCCCATCTAGACCGCGTCTGTATCTCTTAATTCATAGTCATGTATCTTCTCCGCTCATCGTCTAATATTTTATTGCTATAAGAGAGAGAGAGAGAGATTGGGAAACATCATGCTTGGCCTAATGCAGTGGTTATCACTTCGTCGTTTCCGCACCGATATTATCTATCCCAAATGTGTCTTCTGACAGCAGACAGATGTTTCCATCATCCGCCACATTGTGTTACTATAGAGCTCAATGTGTATACAGGAAATCTGACTGACTGACTGACCGACTGGTTTCAACATAGAATTATGCACAGATATGCAGCAGTTCGAGATGCCACACTGCCTTCATGTAGGACACAAAGCAAGATAAGAGAGTGAAGACGGATTCAAAAGAGAGATAATAAACACAAGTATGAGTCAGGGAAAAAGAATAGTATGTATAAATGTAGAGCCTGATGATGAATTTATCGAAAAGAGTACTCTTTGTTCAGTATCCATTCTTTTGAAAAAGTGTAGCAGTAATATGGAAGATCAATAGAGCTCTTTTGAATAATGACAAATCACAGAGATGGGATGCGCCTGTGTCAGGCATTGACAAGGATGACTTTGAGCCATATCATCAATTGTCTCCAGCCATCAGTGCTTCTCAAAGTCCTGAGGACCCCAACCAGTCAGGATGTCTACACCTCCATAGGTGACTGGCTGGCTGACTGCCATAAACTAAGTGTTATGGATTTCATCATTGACTGATGAAGCTATGTTTTGGTTTGACCACCACTAGCTAACTAACTCTTTTCCAACCTGATTCATCCCACATCATACAGCTAACATTGTCTGTTGTGGAGGGGAGGTGATGGCTATGCATAATACATGCGTAAGACATGTCCTAACCATCTCAATCAATGTGGCTGCTTCAAACAATGTCGGCGACTGATTTTCCCTCCTCCTTATCCAGCACTCGATTGATGATGCCTCATCGACTTAATAATACACTATTACACCTACCACCAACTTACACACACACAACAGATAGAACGCAGACAGACACTTATGATCAGAGACAGCTAGCTAACTAAACAGGCCTTTTCATGTCTTCCACTTTCTCTGACCATGTCTAACTGACAATCAGCCATCAAGGTGGATGGGGTGAATTGCTGTTGGGCAGTACACACACACACGCTCTTTGCTCGACATCAGGGGATTACAATAAATCAGAAGACTGACTACAAAACTACTTGTCATTTAGAATCTTCATGTTTGTCTTTTCTTTTCGTCTTGTAAATATATGACATCAGCGGAAGACTGATAAAACTTTATGGTAATTAATTTGTAGAAGGTGACTTCAGCGGCTCAGGGATTGACTTGCTACCGGGGAATAATCTCGTTGACTTGGAATATGCAGACGATATAGTCCTTCTAGGCGAAGACGCTGACGAAATGCAGAGTCTTCTAAACACCTTGAGCCGCAATCTACGAATGTTTGGCATGCGATTCGCTCCCGCCAAATTCAAGATGTTACAGGACTGGACTACATCGACGCCTAGTTTAAAAATAGGAAGTGAAGTGGTAGAGCACGTTGACCGCTTCACTTATTTGGGAAGTACCATCAACCAGTGCCAACGGGTTGATCTCAGACGAAATCTCAGCACGAACACAAGGAGCTCGTTTCGCATTTGTTAGTTTACGCCGACTCTGGCGTAGACGAGATGTTCGACTATCGACCAAAGGGCGGGTGTACTGCTCATCAGTCCGCTCCGTCCTCCTTTATGGTTGTGAGACCTGGCCACTGAGAGTGGAAGACATGAAAAGACTAGCTGCCTTTGATCATAGGTGCCTGCGCTCTATTTCCCGTGTAAAGTGGCATAATAAGGTGAGCAACATGGAGGTTAGGCGTCGAGTTCTAGGTAAACAGGGGAAATCAATCGACGAAGTCGTGAAGCTACATCGACTGAGATGGTTAGGACATGTGTTACGTATGCCAAGCCATCGCCTCCCTCGACGAGCAATGTTAGTGGATATAGGGTCAGGCTGGAAAAAAGCTAGCGGCGGTCAAACAAAAACTTGGCATCAGTCAATGAAATCCACAACAGTTGGTCTTTGCCACGTAGAAAGGTGTAGACTTCCAGGCTGGGGTCCTCGGGACGGTAAAAATCTATGGTTGGAAACAATTGGTGACATGGCTCAAAATCGTTCTCAGTGGCGCAGATGCATCCACTCCTTGTGACTTATGATCTTCAATGAAACTGTTTTGTATTTCTTTATTACTCCTTTGTCTCACACCTCTGCTCACTGTTTCTATTATGCTTTTCTTGTACTTTCTTCTCTTGCTTCGCGTGCTACACGGAATGTGGCGACTTGAACTTCCGCACATTTGTGCAAAGTTCTATGTCGAAAACAGACAGACAGACAGAAGGCTGCCTTAGAAATGTTGCGTATTTATAATATTTTCCCTGTGCTTCGAAGTTTTGTAGTTGTATTTCATTGATTTTCTGGGGTAGGGTTGCTAAACCCACTCCCAACCATCCCTCTTTTCTCAGACTTGGAACCGTCTAGAAGACTAGAGTGCTAGAGTGAACTACTCGAGGTTTTCTTCGTTGGCCAGGGTTCGAAACCCGGTCCATATGGATGGTTGGTGAGCGTCCTACCGACGCTGAATCACCGACACCTTGGAAATAGTTAGCTAACAAATCCCTACAGCTCTTGCTCTGAATACCCAATGGTCGAAAATGAAATCTGATTCAATACACTTACTACCTGCAATCGGTGGCTGACGGGTATCCTGTGGAGGAAGACTTAAATCTTTTAAGAAAAAAGCTCAGTGGAAAGTTGATTTTTGCCACGTTTTATAGACCAAGAAGATGCACTGTTAAAACTTATGAAATGTGATTTCACATCGGTTTATCTGTTCTGGCTGCCTGTGGTTGAGACAATGCTTCCCTAGATAAGTGCAGAAAGTGGTGAACCCTTTCCATTTTCTCCCATTAATAGTGATTGTTTGTAATTGCTGTTGTTGTTGTTGTTGGTTGGTCAGACATCTTGATCACCTCCAGATTTCTCTATTGTGTTCACCTAGAGTCTTGTACTTTGTTGACTGCTTCTTCAGCCAGTTTGTTGGTTTTCGGCTGCCTGCAAGTCTTCGAGTTTCCGCGACATTACACGATATAAATTATCTATGAAATCTAGAGTCCTTCTTATCACTTATCCCGCATACTCCTGTCTTGGTGAAGTTCAACAATAGCGTCCCAGGAGTCTGTCTGTCTGTCCGGATTCAACATAGAACTTGGCACCGAAGTGCAGCAGTTAGAGTTGCCACGTTACAAATACCACACAGAGGTAGAAAAGAAGATGAGTGAAGAGATTCAATAGAGTTTGACAAGTATAAGAGTGAAACAGAATGGGTAATGGTAGAAAGGAATATGAAAGATTACAGAGACTGAATACATCTGAGCTGGCCATCGACAACGATTTGAGCCATATCACGCCTATTGTCTCCAGCCATTGATTCCTAGAGTCCCGAGGGCCCCAACCCGGGAGTCTGCATCTCCCTACCTGACCGACTCAGTTTAACTGTCAAGGATTTCATGGATTGATGAGGCCATGTTTTTGTTTGGCCACCACTGGCTCTTTTCCAACCTGAACCTATATCAGCTAACAATGCCCGTCGGGGGAGGCGATGGTTAGGCATGCGCACCACGTGACCTAGCCATCTTAGTCTATGTAACTTTATAACCTCGTCGATTGATTTTCCCTGTTTGCCCAACACTCTACGCCTAACGTCAACATTACTTATCTTGTGAAACCACCTAACGTGAGACAGAGATCGCAGACATCTATGATCGAAAGCAGTCAACCAGGAGTGCGAACGTTCCAATGACCTTGAGTACATGCTAGTCATTGGCTAACGGCACCTATCATTATCAATGCTATTCACCAACATGGGAGCGAATTTTACCCAAATCACGTTTTTAAGTACTGTTTCGACAATGTGCTGCTGATAACTCATCAGGGTTAGGGTTAGCACCCATGTTCATAATTACTCAGTTAGATAGTGCACTTGGGCAATGTGGGTAGAACGTGGGTTAAACAGATAATTTTGATTTGTAAAGACGTAGACAAATGAGGGTTAAAATGCCATCATATAATTAAACCACTTTACCCTTCCTTACTGGTCACTTTTTTCCTGTTTGCCCATGTCTCGAAAAATTTTATTGTCACACTTTGCCTAATTTTGAACAAAAAACTGTCCACCGTTTTTACCCACATATTCTAAATCCGACTGAGTTGGATTAGGGTTAGGTTTACGGTTGTGATAGTTGTCGATCCTCTTATTGGAAACCATGGTAATTAAACCGAAGGACTTTTGAGAGAAGACTGCACAATAGGATAAGAAAGGTACACGATTTAGAAAACAGTAAGATTGAGCGAATAAATATTTCCTTTTTAATTAGATCCTCATCTCTGGCTCTACTCTGACATACACATATAGGATTTTTATTATTACAATCAAGTGGCACAGATATGTTTGTTAACAATAATTAGTCAGTGTCAAAATGTCAATGCGGCCGGTGAAAATCAATGAACACAATTCAGAGGTAGAAATGGATTGAATAAATTAATTTTACAAGGATAACACGTCATTAAAGATGAAATGGTCAGAAAAAATAAAACTAAAATAATTTGCACAATTATAATTTTTATAATTTTAAAGATTTTAGAGGGAGGGGGGCGATGTAGTCCGGTTTATGCATTCATAAATCGATGGCCAAGGCAAGGAAAGTGGCTGTACAAATTTCTTCTGAACACCGACAGGTTTGGCTTGTTCTTCAGGTGGATGCCTATTGCTTCAGCTGTCTGTAGGAGACAAACTCGTAGAGTAAAATTAAGATTAGTAGGAATACGATAAATAATTTTAAATACAGTATTCACATCAATCTTATGCTCAGTATCTAGAAGGTGTGCTACAATAGATCTACGAATAAATCCTGTTTGTCCCTTGCTTGACGATGTTGAGTGATGTTCGATGATGAACCTGCCTAATTTTACGCCCAATGTAGCTGGCTTCGCAGCTGCAGTCCAACTGGTAGATACACATAGAGGAGGGGGTAAATTTAGGTAGTTTATGCTTATTTCTCGAACTTAGAATAGGGGTGGTTGTGAAGAGACAACGTACCTATCTCTGCTGCATAATAAGCTCTTTTAACTGCATTCTTCAGGTGCTGTGTTATTATTTCACTGATACTGTCTGTTACCGAGGAACTGCAGTTTTATGAACATTGTCTTTTACGGAACTGTTGCTTTACTGACGGATAAATGATTCACAAAACAGCTCTTCTTTAGTCACCTCGGTGAATAATACCCATGTACAGAAAGTAGTCTAACATTCCAACTGATACTCGTCATTATAACTGGGCTGTATTTTTAAGTCCTATCAGAGAAAGACAACCTGTCTAATGTGTTTTCATGCATTTTCTTGTCAATATACGTCAACTTATTTTGGGGTGCAAAAATTCCTTTATTTTCATGATTGGTCAACTGAAGGTTATCTGTGCGTTCGTATCCCTTTTCGACGCTGTTGTTGTTGTCGTTGTTGTTCAACTTTGCCCCTGTTTTCTGTTATATTTCTCTGTAGTCTTCTATCATTATTATTATTATTATTAACATTATTTTTGCTTATGTTTATAGACTTTCATCTGTTCTGCAGTCTGCTTATACAAGCTATGAACCACACTACATACTACAGTATGCCTTACAACTTACGTGAGTTCTCTTTGTTTATTGTCGTCATAATTTTGTTGTTGTTGTTGGCGTTGGTATCATTTTTTCCTGATTAGCTGCTACTTTTAACTTGATGGTAAGCCCGTCGGGCTTGCATATATCGTGCAATGACACGATGAAGCTACATTCTGACTGGAACTGATGTTCCTTACAGGTGTCCTACTAACATGCTAGAAAGATTAATATGTGTGTAAAGTTTGGGCACAGTGGTAGGTGTAAGTAATTCCATATTCGTTTGTTTATTAAATGTATCACAGTGAGTGAAACAGTATTCATTATTTACTGGATGACGTTTCGAACAAAATTTATTGCTGTTCATAATCATGCCATCAATTATAATCACACGACTTTGAAACTTAAGTTTCATAGTTTTCTTTGTCTTCTCCTATTCGTCGTCGTTGGGGTAGTAGAATTTTTTTAGATATCCGGCTGAACAGGTGATGAATCATTCCCATTACACGTATTCTCCTCAGTTAATTCGATAAACAAAGCTACTGTTATCAATCTATCCCTATACCCTGTGATATTAGATTTTAAAACTGTCATCTTATCCCATCTCATAGGTTTGTGTGATCGTGTGTAATCGCATGTCGTGTAGTCCTATAGCTGAACTATTCTCTCTAGACTGCTTATCTTATTTCGCTCAACCAATCTAGATTTTGCTGCAAGGTTTTTATGTTCGGCTAGTCTGACTGACTGCCTCTGTTCTACTACTTTGACCTATGTATTTGACCTGACAATCATTGCAGACAGGGTATTAGATAAACTAAATTGTTTTGCTTTAAAGGCTCCATAGGATTGATCCTTAAACCGACAAAGCCTGTTTTCAATTGAGTTTGTGGGTGGTTTGAATACCAGCCACTTTTATTCCTGCTTGTATTGTTAAGAATTCTGCGTAACGTGGTTTCCGAGGTTCTTTCCTTGTATGGAATTACTACTGATGATTTAAATTCCTTATCCTTGGTACCGTCACTGATATTATTATCATTACCACTATCACTAATCTTATTATTTATTTTATTTTCACATTTCCTTTCATATTTCCTGATTAATTTATCACGGTAATTATTAAGTTTCAAGGCTCCTCTTATATGCCTCATTTCCTATCTTAGATTCCCCTTGGTACTACTTAGTGTTTTTGTGCTCTATCACTTAAACATTTCACCAATCCTATTTTCACTGACATTGGATGGGATGATCCGAAGTTCAAATCTCTGTTTGAATGTGCATGTGAGTTTCCTGTATACACACTAGTTTGTGTCTAACTTCGCATCCTCTTTCCTTCTTACGCTACATACAATCTAACATTGGAAGCTCCGCTTTTTTGATTGACTTTCCAATTCATAAGTGAATTGAATCGCCTCCGCCTTTGAGTTAATGTGTTCGAAAATGCATTCTATATCCTGTGTTCTAAAAGTACAGTGAATGTGTGTCATCTTCCTTCTACCTCCACCATACTTTTGGGGTGATGGGACTGAACGTTTCAATCGCTAAGTTTACCCACCTATCCATGAATATATATATATCTGCCACAACTAAGGATATTGGTGACTCTATGGCAATTTTCTTCCTGATAGCTGCCACTTTTTACTTGACGGTGAGCCTGTGGGGTTTGCATATTACTCAGTGACACGACGAAGCTACATTGTGACTGGAACTGATGTTCCTTACAGGTGTCCTACTAACATGCTAGAAAGGTTGTTTTGGCGATAGTAGTTAGACTGAGAACTATAACCATTATAGAGTGGTGTGTTTACACGATACTCTGATAAGACACTAGTTTGTAAGTAGTATCTGTCTGTCTGCCTTTTTTCGACATAGAACTTTGCACCGGTGTGCGGCAGTTCAAGTCGCAGCACTCCTCCCATGTACCACACAAAGCAACAGAAGAAATGCATTATAGCGACAGTAAACAGAGGTGTGAGATAAAAAAATAGAAGTAACGAAGAACAATATAGTTTCATTGGAAATCATAGGTCACAAGGAGTGAATGCATCTGCACCAGCCATTGAGAACGATTTTGAGCCATGTCACCAATTGTCTCCAACCAATGGTGTTTACCGTCCTGAGGACCCCATCTAGTCAGGAAGTGTACACCTTCCTACGTGACTGGCTGGCTTAAACTAACGGTTGTGGATTTCATTGACTGGTGCCATGTTTAGGTTTGATCGCCGCTAGCTGCTTTCCAGTCTGCCCGTATGTCAGCTAACATTTCCTGTTGTCTAGGAAGGCGATGACTAGGTATACGTAACACATGTCCTAACCATCTCAGTCGATGTATCTTCACAGCCTCGTCGATTGATTTCTCCTCCTTACCCAGCACTCGACACTTAACCTCAATATTTCTAGCCTTATTTTACCACTACACACGACAGATAGAGCGCAGGCACCTATGATCAAAGAAACCTAGCTAGTCTTTTCATGTCTTCCACTCTTAATGGCCAGGTCTCACAGCTGGCCATAAAGGAGGATGGAACGGACTGATGAGCAGTACACCCGCCCTTTTGGTAACTGGTGTGTCATGTGTGTCTAGTCATCTTTTGTTTATTACAGACTGCAGACAGTCACGTCTGCAATGTGTGTCCACCTAGAGTAGAAGCTAGGATACTAGCGAAAAAGGATAACCAACAGGGAACTCTCGTAATGAATCATCTAAGCGTTTGTTGCCTAATCAATAAGTTTACTGCAGAAAATGGAGATGGATCAGACAGACAGACAGACACACGCACACATGCACGCTGTAGAGAGACTTTTCAGTGACACACAGCAGGCACCACCAGTCAGTCAATCACTTGAGTTGATCCGGAATAAGTAAGAGATGACGCGTTGGGTGCGCTTAGACCGTAGTTTTTCATGGTGTGGTGAGAGTTGGTTGCTTGCCAAATGTGGTAGACAGTAATTTACGTCAATGTTTATGTCCCCAATATTGGTCGTGAGAAAAATGAGAAAAAAACTGATTCAACAAACAACTACAGCACACTTTGCGTGCGGGCGGATACAGTTAGCATATAGATGATCTGATATTCAAGAAACAGCCACAAAGAGATGCAAGGGTAACTTTCTGTGAGAAGACTGTGTTTTTCTGCTGACAATAGTCTATAATAATGTACATGAAAATATATAAATATGTGTTGATTTGATTAATAAAGGATCTGTTGCCTGGCTTTTGTCTTCTGTTGTTATAATGGAATAAATCGTGAAAGGAGGAGAATGGAATGAAAGCTTACGGGCAACCATGAAGCCGGCTAGCTAAAGAAGACTGCAGGGAGCCGGGTGAAATGGAGATTTGCTACTGTGCAACCTTTTTTCACTCGGAAGTCAAGGGAATAAATAATATACCAGAATTAGTTTGTAGAGATTCTATTTGTTTTAGGTTGGGCCATAGACTGATAGCAGTTAGAGAACTATTGAAAACCATCAGGGAATACTAGACAGGTGTTTCATCCACCGAGTTTTTGGAATCATCGGCAGTACTCACTCATATCTTGTGCTTCGAACCCAGGACACACCTTCAGGTTACAAGGCAAGCTCGTTGACGACCATTCAGCCAATGGGACCCGATCCAGTGGCCCATGAATTCTAACTTCTGCCAATTCGCGACCCCTAGCCAATGTCTTCTTCGGCAAGTATTTGTCCTCACACCAGCCGACCTGCTGCACCCTACTGGTCACGACTTCTCACTAGAACCCCAGCTAACCGCCTACCTGAATATGGCAAGTGGCTAGGGAGCATCTCATTGATATTTAAATGTTGGTTTGCAAGGATTTGGTTGGTTTTCATCATGAGCTGACATTGGTTAAAGAACCATTGGAAAATCTGGGAGTACTGGACGACTATTTCGTCCTAGTTTGTGACTCTTCATCAGTAAGCACTCACAGGGGTTCAAGAGTTTGGTTCGCAAGGATTAGATTTGTTTTTACGAGTTGATCACGGATGGATATCAGTTAGAGAACGATTGAAAACCAGTTGGGAGTACTGGATAGCTATGTCATCCTAGTTTGGGAATCATCGGAAGTGCGCCTACAAGCTAATTCTTGAAAATCAATCTTATGCTATCTAATGACTGGTTACAGAACCTAGTTGGCTGGAGTTCTAGTGAGAAGTTACGACCTCAGTGTCGTCCATCCAGTCGGGAGTAAGGATGGAGTTTCTGCGAATGACAATGGCTGCTGCTGCTGCTGGTGGTGGTGGTGTTAAAATCACGAATGATTATAAGGTAGAGGGGCCATTGAATCGGCTTCCAGTCGCTGAATGGTCGTCAACGAGCCTGCCTTGCAACCGGAAGATCCTAGGTTCGAACCCCACGATGTGAGTGTGCACTGCTGCTGCAGAGTCCCAAATTAGGACGAAACATCTGTCTAGTATTCTCTGGTAGTCATCAATGGTTCTCTAAATGATATCAGCCAGTGGTCTAACGTGAAATAATAATAATAAAGCAATCATTAATTGATTGACTGTGTTTTACACTCGTACCTCTATAAGTCTTATGATCACACTGTGATTACTAAATTTAGTATTTCTTTTATTGGTTTGTAATGATTGAAGCGAGATAATGTGTGTATTTGTTGTTGTTTTTCCTTTCTAGTTCTGCTATTAACTCTGCATGGAAACGTCTACCAGTTCTAACATGCTCAAGCAGAAATGACCAGTTGGTAAGTGGTATTTTGGTTTTTTGTTCTTTTGGTGTCTTGTGTTTATTGACGGCATTTTTAGTGTTTTAATAATAATAATAATTCGTATATTCAATGGTGTGTCAGTGGGTACAATGAGAGACTGTAACAACAGAAGACAAGGGCCAGGCAACAGATCGTTTTATTATGAAAATCAACACGTATTTATACATATTTCACATACATTATTATAGACAAGCGCAGTCATCTGATTGGTTGTTTATCAGAAGTTAGGCAGACAAACGCAGGCTTCTGATTGGTTGTTTCGGGATTCCTTGACAAATAGAGTTCTCTATCTGCGAATCATATTTTGCCACGTTAACTTTGCTGTGATTGGTTGTTGACTCAGCCTTGTTCATATTTTCTCACGGCCCATATTAACGTAGATTAGTGTCAACCAATCGGCTAGCAGCCTGCTCTCACCACACTCGTCCCCCCGTCAAATACGTGCGACTGAAGTCGGCTTGATCTACTTGGTGCAGGCGTCATCGTTGGCTTGTCTCGCTGTATCCATTTCTGGAGCTCGCTGACGTTCACGCGCCTCTTATTGTTCGCCATTGCGACTGTGTCTGCGTAACCCCATCTCGAAGTGACCATATATGGTCCTTCCCACTTTGGAAACTGTTTGCCTGACCCTGTCGAACATTCGTCCATACTTCGGCTCACACTTTCATATGCTGCTTTCACCCGACCTCCCAGCAGCGTCCCAAGTAGCAGCTTCATCGCTGACAGATCTTGAACGCCACTCAACTGCGCAGAAGCCTTGAAGTCCTGCCCGAAGATCCATATGTCTCCATCGAAAACAGCAGGGCATAGGCTTTCCATTTGTCGGTAGGCAGCGACACCAAATGTAACAACAGAAGACAAGGGCCAGGCAACAGATCGTTTTATTATGAAAATCAACACGTATTTATACATATTTCACATACATTATTATAGACAAGCGCAGTCATCTGATTGGTTGTTTATCAGAAGTTAGGCAGACAAACGCAGGCTTCTGATTGGTTGTTTCGGGATTCCTTGACAAATAGAGTTCTCTATCTGCGAATCATATTTTGCCACGTTAACTTTGCTGTGATTGGTTGTTGACTCAGCCTTGTTCATATTTTCTCACGGCCCATATTAACGTAGCTTAGTGTCAACCAATCGGCTAGCAGCCTGCTCTCACCACAAGACCACTGCTTGCCTTACCATGCCACACATAGTCCGGATGCGTTTCCCAGCCGACGAACTACTAAACTTTTTGCGGGAATTAAATTGGTTTTTTTAAGATTTCATCAGGAGCCGATATCGGTTAGAGAATTTTTGGGAAACTAACAGCGAGTGCTGGACAGCCATCTGACCGATAGTTGCCACCTTGACGTGGTGGTGGTTGGGCTGGCATATGACAGTGACCCAACAAGCTACACTGGTTGAAACTAATGTTCCTGCAGATCCTACCATGTCAAGAAGGTTGTTAGAATTGCGATTAGACTAAAAGAATTTACTGGCTTAGTGTAGGAATTTTTTCGTACTATGTTGGGAGTCTGTGGGCGAAGTCGTACTGCCTAGGGAACAGAGATGAGACAGCAGTGTAAGGTGTTTCCCTCAGATGATCAACATGTCAACCAGCTATGCTGTCTCTCCATTCTGGAGGGATGGGGTTAGAAAAGGTCGACCCCAGAAATTGTACATCCCGACTTACCCCAACTACGGTGGTCCGTAACCGGCGGTAAATTTACTAAAATGGAACGAAATCTAGCAACTAATTCCTACGGGCCGTGTGTAACCAGCCTCAAGCAGGTGTCCCCTGGACTCTGAGGTCACACAACACAAACCCTGTCTCTATTTCAGGTACCCGAAGAATTAACCAACTTCTAGGGTGTGAGCAGCTGGGAAGTAATAACTGTCCACACACTTCCGAAAGTACACGAAGCCTCCCCGAGCAGGACAGCCATCTATGTCGACAGCCTAGTTTGCGACGCTGCTTCAACAATACTCACTCCCCTCCAGGTTTCAAAACCAAGACCTTCTAGTTACATGCGACATTCACTTCCGGATCGCAGTGGTTTAATGGTTTACCAGCTTGGCTTGTAACTGGAATTTATTTATTTATTTTGATTACAGCTTGATTCCATACCGTATTTTTGGTACAAGTATGGAATTTTCAGCGTGGATATCGGTAGCCCAAATTTCGCAGGCCTACCATAGATATCAGGTGTGCGTCGGCGTGGGCTCGAACCCCGGACCATATGCATGGTCGGCGAGAGTCCTAACCGCTGTGCCACCGACGCACAGTGGAAGGCCCTGGTAGTGCGTTCTGCTGAACTGTAGTCCCATACTAGACTCACAAAATAGTTAGTTGTCCGGTATATTCCCATGTCCTACAATCGTAATCTAACCAATCTCAGCTCATGATGAAATCCTTTAACCTAATAAACTTTGCCTAACCAGTCATTATATAAGCCCCAAAAAGAGGAGGAATAGTCGGCCATCAGACTGACAACTTTTTTTGGTGTGGTTTTGTTCTCTGAGCTGGATGGTTAGTTTGCGAAGCTTCCATCACCCTACTGGGTGACATCTTCAGCGCATACTTCAATTTGAATTGAAGTGAGCTTTTAGATATCTCCACGAGTTTATTAGTCATCCCTCCTGGTGACCCTGGACGTGATTGGTTGTTTGTGTGTGTTGTGTGTGTGAATTTTCTTTCTTATCAGTTGATAAATTTTGTCTATCTCGATGTGTCTATTGATTGATGATTCACTGGCGTACCAGACAGCCTTCTAAAAATTCTCTAGGATTCTTCGTGTTTCCTCTATCTTATATGTGAAAGCTGGTTGTCCCAGTCGAATTGATGTCCGTGGTTGTCTGTATGCAGCGGATGATATGAGGGAGTGGATATCATGTCTTTTGACGGCTAGCTTATGTTCGTGGATACGAAGAAGACGAAGGGGACGTCCACTTTGGCCAATCAGTTCCAATACAAGTAACCTAGAAGGTGTGAAAACACACATAAACAACCAATCACGTCCAAGGTCATCAGGAGGGATGATTAATAAACTCGTGGAGATATCTAAAAGCTCACTTCAATTCAAATTGAAGTATGCGCTGAAGATGTCACCCAGTAGGTTGATGAAAGCTTCGCAAACTAACCATCCAGCTCAGAGAACAAAACCACATCAAAATCATCCACCTGAGCTACAAATCTTCCCTATCATATCTAGACTGACAACTTACATTGTGCACAAACAAAACCACGTTTACTGTGAGGCATCAAAGCATAAAGCCTGTATGCATTCTCTATATACAGATGCCCTGAAATGACACACATAATTGTTAAAATTGTAGATCTTGTTCATCGTTTTCATGATTTTCATTTATAAAATCATTAGTATTGTAAGTACTACTGTAATAACAGAAGACAAGGGCCGGCAACAGATCATTTTATCACGGAAATCATCACGTATTTATCTATATTTCATGTACATTGTCATAGCTTATTCAGGTAGAAGAAAGCAGTCATCTGATTGGTTGTTTTCGAGATTTCTCGGAAAGTGGAGCCATCTATCTGCGAAACATTTTTGCCCACGTTAAGTCGGCTGTGATTGGTTGTTGAATCAGCCTTGTTCATATTTTCTCACGGCTAATATTAGTGACCTAGACATTGACGTAGATTAATGTCTACCAATTGGCTAGCAGCCTGCTCTAACTACATTACTATTATTTTAACTTAATGCACAATTTTATTATACGAGTGACAAAATACCATCATTGGTTTATATTTTAACAGTTCACGAATTAACTGATTAAAAATGCCTATTAAAATTTTTCAGAAGGCTGGATACTGAACAAAGAGTACTCTTTTCGGTAACCTCTTCTTCATCAGGCCTTAACTTAGCTGTACAGAATAAGTGAACTGTTAGACACATGAACGCGAAACAAAAAACTGAATGTTAGTAAGTGTGCGTCGGTGGCACAGTGGTTAGGTCTCTCGCCGACCATGCACATGGTCCGGGGTTCGAGCCCTCGCCGACGCACACCTGATATCTATGGTCGGCCTGCGAAATTTGGGCTACCGATATCCACGCTGAAAATTCCATACTTGTACCAAAAATACAGTGTGGAATCAAGCTGTAATCAAAATAAAAAAAAATTTAACCCACACTACTACTTATCGAAATATATTGGAGAGAAACAGGTTTAATCTATAGCCCTTCTAAAAATCTTATAACGTTCAAGCATTGGTATGTGTAGGGATTTGATTTCATCATGAGATGACACCAGTTAGAGAACCACTGGAAAAACCAGTCAAGGAGTACTGCAACACAACTGTTTCATCAGCCTAGTTTTGAACTCCGCTTCAGCAGTACTCACCCACTGTTAAAGTTTAAACCTAGGACCTTATGGTTTTTAGGCGAGCTTTTAGGCCATTTAGCCTCATGGGACCCGATCCAATGGCGGAATTCACGATATAGCGCTATTGGTACTAGCCAATGTAATCGATGAGGTAAGTATCTTTCCTCACACCTCACAATCAACTATACTTTACTGATCATGACTTCCCACACTCGTGGTAGTGGCAGTGTGAAGAATGTTGTTACTTTTTAGTAGATAGCTTACTGATACAATGACAATAGGTCTACGATTACTTAGATTTTCTCGGTTGTCTGATTAGAAGTCACAAACAACAAATATAGCAAAAATTAATTGATTAAAAATTCCAATTGAAATTTCCAAAGGATGGATACTGAACAGAGAATATTCTTTTCGATAACCTCTTCTTCATCAGGCTCTACAGTTATACATGTAGATTATAGTATATAAATGAATTAGTGTTATGAACAACATTAATGTCGCGGTTTAAATAACATCGAATCAGTAATGTTGATAGATTACAGCTCAATAGCATCAACATAAAATAAGCTGAATGTCAGAAAGGCAGACTAGGAAAGATAATATTACAAATTCATGAATTTATAGTCTCCACTGAAGGCCAGTCAGAGCAGTAGAAGGGGCTGACTGGACTTACTTCTTTTGAACACAGAGACCTGGTTGTTTGAGGCGACTTGCAATAGCCTCTGTTGTTTGGAGTATGCGGTGCTTCGATGATGATTTTGGCAATTTATTAGGCACCCGGTAGATGATGATAGAGAAGGATTCTTCCATGCTGGCTGGCTTTGTGGTCGGTTTGCACTAGATGGTCTAATATCGAACTGTTAATGGTTTTCACTACACCTTTACTAAGCAATAGTGGGAGATGTTTTCGAGCGAGCATGAAAAATCAACGGCCAATATAACTCGTTCCATCACAAGCTCAGTTGAATTGGTAGATACAATTTGAAGTGGCTAGTCTGGACCAGTCACTTCATCTTACAGTCGACGAATACCCACCATCGGTCATGTAGAGAATAGGACGTGTAGTTCTCCAGCATTAAAAGTTCTCTGAACTGATTTCCTTAATTTCCTCGTAATTATCTCACTTGGTATATCGCCATTGAATTGTAGTTGTATATAAAGAGGCTTCTTGTTTACAGATATTGAGTAGTCCTTTTCCGCCGCTTTCTTTGTCATGTGTTTCTTGATAAATTTGTCAGGATAGCTATTTTCGATCAAAGTATCATAATACAATGTGCTTAATTCATCTTCAATTACTTCTTCTGAGCATATAGCTCTAATTCTGTGGCTGAGAGTCTTCACTAAATTTCTTTTGTACTTGATGAGAACGAAGCTGTGCAAATGTGTATATTGTCGTGTCCAAGTACTTTTTCTCAGCAAATTTCTTTTTATGCTACCATCTGGTTTTCTTGCAAGTAGAACACGCAGGAAGGCAATTCTATCTTGGGATTCCTCTTCGCATGTGAATTTCATAGCCGAATGTACTTCATTGAATTCAGTAATTATTTTACTTCTATCCGATTCATTGCCACTAAGGATGAAGGTGTCATCCATATACCGGAAATAAAATGAGAGCTTACTGATAAGGTTGTTCACAGGTCCGTTTTCTAGTTTACTTAGAAAGAAATCAGCGGAAATGGGACCCGATGGGAAACCCATCATCACGGATGGATATCAGTTAGAGAATCATTGAAAATCAGCACTGGAATACCGGAGAGCTGTTTCATCTACCGAGTCCGGGAACCATTGGCAGTAAGAACCCACATCGTGAGGTGCGAACGCATGACCTTCCGGTTACAAGGCAAGCTGGCTGGTATGCTATTCAGCCACTGGGACCCGATTCAGTGGCTAGCGCATGAATTCTAACTTCTACCGATTGGCGATTTAGCGTGACTCCATCCATTGAATGGATCGGGTCCCAGTGGCTTAATGATATTCGAGCTTGCCTTGTAACCAGAAGATCCTCGGTTCTAACCCCTGTAGCGGGTGCGTACTGATGAAGAGTCCAAAACTAGGCTGACGAAACAGCTGTCCAGTACTCCCCGCTGGTTCTTTAACTGATGTCAGCTCATGATGAAATCTTCCAACCAATCAAACTAAATCCCAACAAAAATCAATACTTGAAAATATCGAGCTTCTCCTTTGTTTGAGTAGCACTCAATTATGCATCGGTTAATGCATAATATTAATTTCTTGTCTTTTTATTTTATTTTTTTAAATTTTAGTTACGCGCATTTATATTTCTAGCCTCAAGAAATGTACTTGCCTCTTGTCTTCAATTAATGGGAATTATGCCTTTGAAAGCGATTTGATGATATGTATTTAGCAAATATCTACGAATAACTTTTTATGTAGTTATTTATTACACATAGATTATTTTTTTTGTAATATTTCAATTAAATAATAATACATTTTATTTTGTGTGCGTGTATAATATCGGAAATTATATTTTTGCCTTTGGGTTAAGATGAAGAGGGCTGAGATGGTTGGTGCCAGCACGTCCTAAACGAAGCATGTAGTTCGCTATCTTAAGGAATAATCCCCGTCCCCCTCACTCAGCCCGTCATTAGCCATTGACTTCAAGTAGTGAGATTCTGATGTGGTTGTGTTCTCTCAGCTGACTGGATAGTTAATTTGCGAAGCTTTAATCGTCCTGCTTACTAGGCAACATCTTCAGAGCATGCTTCAATTTGAATTGAAGTGAGGTTTTAGATTTCTCCACGAGTTTATTAGTCATCTCTCCCGCTGGGTGAATTTGAACGTGACTCTTTGGTTGTTCTCGTGTGTGTTTTCACACTTTCTAGGCGGCTATTTGTATTGAAACTGATTGTTTCTTTGACTTGAACTTTGACCCTTTGTGTGTGAGGTTTACTTCTTATCAGTTGGTAAATTTTGTCTATCTCGATGTGTCTATTGATTGATGATTCACTGGCATACCAGACAGCCTTCTAAAAATTCTCCAGGATTCTTCGTGTTTCCTCTATCTTATATGTGAAAGCTGGTTGTCCCAGTCGAATTGATGTCCGTGGTTGTCTGTATGTAGTGATATGAGGGAGTGGATATCATGTCTTTTGACGGCTAGCTTATGTTCGTGGATACGAAGAAGACGAAGGGGACGTCCACTTTGACCACCGTTGTGTTTTTCGCAGTTGTTTACAATTTAAGAGAAATCTTATTCATTCCTTATGCTTCAGAATTCGTAAAATCTACTCTATAGGGGCAATCGGTAGAGAACTAGATAACTTTCGATCACATCTCCTTAACAATAGGTATCCTACAAGGTTCATTGAACGTAACATCAAGAATCCACCCCTAGACAAATCACAGCGCCAAAGAAAAAAACTGTTTATGAGTCTAGCATACAAAGGTGACACCATTTCGGAATTGATTAAAAATCGTTTATCTAAATGTATTAAACGCACTTTTCCTGCAGCTGACTCGCATCTAGTTTTTACCAGCCGAAATATGATTAGACAATGCGTCAAGGATAGATTACCGCTTTTGTCCACATCTATGTGCATTTACTCATTTATCTGCTCTTGTGGAGCTGTTTATATTGGACGTTGTAAGCGTAATCTCTTAAAACATGTAGCTGAACACTATCCGGTTTGGTTAATGAAAGGCGAACGTAGAACTGCAAAGTCGTCTATTTGTGATCACCTGTTAGAGTCTGGTCATTCAGCCCCACGTGATTCATCTTTCAAAGTTATCTACATGGCAAAATCGAATCGATTCAAAAGTTTACGTTTTCTTCACTTATGCATAGCTAGCCGAAGCTTTAGCTATACATGAACAGAAACCTAAATTATGTGTGTTCAAAAACGTTTGCTGTTGTAATCCAGAATTTATTCTGTGTGAGTTGATTTTCTATAAACTTGAGTTTCTAATTCCCCTGTAGTTGTACGCTTGACTAAGACGTCCAAAAATGGGATTTCGTTCTCGAATTCTTCTCCTCTTGTGAATTTGATGTCGTTTAAGAAGTTGTTTAATAAGGTGTGAGTTTTATCTAACTAGTTTGTTTTGATTATTACAAATGTGTCGTCGACGTAGCGTGGCCAAATCTTCGGTTTGATCTTTGGTAGAATTATGTTTTCGAGCTTTGGCATCACTGCTTCTGCAATCAAACTTGATATTGGTGATCCCGTGGATGTTCCTTTGACTTGTTCATATATTTAATCAAATTCACAAGGCTGGTGGATCAACAGTCTTAGGAGCGGCTACATATTCATTCCCATGGTTTCTGGTGAGATCGAAACACTCTCATACATGCATGATATGCATGACATCTGATTCTGGAGTCGATTTACACCACTACATAGGCTTGGAATCAAGATTTTCTGGCTCCCCCAGCCTAACTTTATCCATCCAGTGTTAAAATATATAAGAGGATTACAGTATGATACTACTGATACCTCGATATAAGTAGTCAGAAGCTACATTCGTCAACTAATCAGATAAAATTGATGACCACTAATATCCTCGGTTGTGGCAGATATATATATTCATCGATTGGTGGGTAAACTTAGCAATTGAAACGTTCAGTCCCACCAACGCATAAGTATGGTGGAGGTGTGTAGATGACACAATCATTGTACTTAGAACACAAGATCTAGATAAATTTTCGAACACATTAACTCAAAGGCGGAGGCGATTCAATTCACTTATGAATTGGAAAGTCAATCAAAAAAGCGGAGCTTCCAGTGTTAGATTGTATGTAGCGTAAGAAGGAAAGAGGATGCGAAGTTAGACACAAACTAGTGTGTATACAGGAAACTCACATGCACATTCAAACAGAGATTTGGACTTCGGATCATCCCATCCAATGTCAGTGAAAATAGGATTGGTGAAATGTTTAAGTGATAGAGCACAAAAATACTAAGTAGTACCAAGGGGAATCTAAGATAGGAAGTGAGGCATATAAGAGAAGCTTTGAAACTTAATAATAACCCAGATGAATTAATCAGGAAGTATATACGGAAATGTAAAAATAAAATAAATAATAAGATTAGTGATAGTGGTAATGATAATAATAATAATAATGACGACATGCATGTCAAACATGCAGAGAATAATGACAACACCAACAATAAGGAATCTAAATCATCAGTAGTAATTCCATGGAAGGAAGGAACCTTTGAAACCTGATGGAGAATTCTTAATAAGGTATGTAGGAATAAAAGTAGCTCGCATTCAAAACCACAAACTCAATTGGAAACATGCCTTGTCAGTTAAAGGATCCTGTGGAGACTTTAAAATGGAACAGGGAGAAGTTAAACTTTTGACACCACTAACTACCAATCAGCGAATTATCCAATGAGATTCACGAACGCAGTTCAATGTTGTATAGCGCTTGATTCATTTCTAATGCGTGACCTTACAAGGCTACAGTTGCAATTCGAGGAGGTAAGTGTTTTCCACTATTTCCTGGATTTGAGTTGCTCCGGAAAGAGCGAATTTGTTTGTGTGGTTGTATCATTACTTTAAAAAGCTATACCAAATCAACTGATGGGTTCGTTCATCTGGAGAGGGTAAGCTGATAATTTAAATATTTCGTAGGAACTTACTTTCACTAGGTCGCATCTCTCCCTAACCCAGATTTTGTATATCTGCAATTAATGGGTGTTGAAACAGGCTGTGAGAGCAGCAGCTGCCGAGATGGAGAATAGCCATGTCTCAACAGTTCAGTGGTACCAGGATTGCAGAGACATCGCATCATGGAAAATGGGGAAAATCACTTGTTTGCTAGTTGGAGAAGACGTTATCGTGCCTGTCGATGAGACAGTGCTGGTAAAAAAGAAATACAACCGTGGTCGCTAGCGAACGAACAATATTTGGGTAATAGGTTTGTATGACACCTCCCTCCGAAAGGGATTCGTCGAAAGGATAGCAGATGGAAAAGCATTGACAGTTCCATGCTAAACTGGGAGATGTTTCTCTCACATGTTCGAGAAAGATATCCCATGTAACTTTTTTATTCTCTATTTTATGCTTTTTTTCTATAAATATACATTTCCATTCATCATATATGTCTCTTTAATGTAATTGGTTCGTTCAAGGTCGTTTACTGATTGGTTGTTAGTGGTGTCGAAAGTTTAACTTTGCCTAGAACAGTTTAGTTTGTCTAATACCCTGGTCGAATGATTGTTAGTGAGGTCAAATGCATAGGTCAAACTAGTAGAACAGGGGGGGGCAGTCAAACTATTTGACCCGAATATGATAAGAAATCTAGAGAACAGTTCAGCTATATCACTCACTACATGCAATCACACAACCATACAATAGGCTGGATGAGGGAAGATGAAAGCCAGTTTTAAAAGTCCAATGTGATAGCAGGGTGGAGGGAGAGATTGATAACTGACTGAGGCTTTGTTTTAATCGAATTAACTGAGAGAGAATACGTGTAATAGGAATGATTCAACACCTGTCCAACCGAATATCTGGAAAATTCTACTATTCCTTTCGACGGCGAATTGGAGAGAACAAAGAAAACTATAAAACTGGAGTTTCGAAGTGGTGCAAATACAATTGATGATATGATGTGAACAATGAATTCTGAGTGTAATCTTAGTTCTAACACTCATTGCATTTCAAACCAATGAATCGGTTGGCACAAACCTCACTTATCCTGGAGGGATTATGACAATTGCTTAGCTATGCAGGTAGCTTAGGTATTAAGTGTTAAGTGAGGCATGCAGCCTACAACTCCATCCATCTCAGTGAGTGAGAAGTTGCGTCGTAACACCACCATCAAGATTTGAGATATTATTCCGGAAACGTCGACCTTATTCTATCAAATGTTCATAAGTTCTGGATTTGATTGTATACGGGATACTCAGGGGTAACAACCTTGGTCATCCAAGACTCTTGAACCAATCAAAAGTCAGAAAATTTAATTTCACGATGGTAATACAATGAGTTATTTTTATAGTAGTAGTATTTTGGTACATGCTACTGACAATATTTTTTCAGTAGTATAGGACGAGAGTTTCATTGGTCAGTACACAAAAATATCGAATGGCGTGGCGAAGACATAAATTCGACTTGAAAGAAAGGAGGAAATGAACCAACCACTATTATGTCAAGACACGAAAAGAAGACAAAAAAGTACAATATGAAGAAAGGGCAGAGAAGTAGCAAGCAGAACACGAAAGATCTGTATAAATGATGATTTAGAGGTATAGTGTATATAATTTCCCTAGATGTAGTAGAGCTATCAAATTACAAATAAACATTTCGTTACCGTGTCTTTTGTGTTCTACTGATTGGGTATTGCGGAAGGAAGCTGTGAACAATAAATACATAGATTTCCAGT